CCCCCNCCCCCNCCCCCCCGTCCCGACAGGTCCACGCAAACCCGCGTCGGACGCCACCAGCCCGTCCGTCGTCGCAACGTCTCAGGAGCACCGAGCTGACGACATGCCGTCCCTGGCGGCCGGGCGTATAGGGGCAAGACCCGTCTGGCAAAGTGGTACGTGCCGTACAGCGACGAGGAGAAGATAAAGGTCAAAGGCGAGGTAAGACGAACAAAGCCAAGCAACGCAAGCAGCAAAACAGCAGAGCAAAAAGCACCCTGATTGTCAGGTTACCGTAGCTGGTCACCACAGCAAGCAAAACTGACATGGGGGCCAAATCTACAACACGCACACGCGCACACACAGGTCCACCGCCTCGTCGCGCCGCGCGACCAAAAGTACCAGTCCAACTTTGTCGAGTTCCGCAACAACAAGCTCGTCTACCGCCGCTACGCCGGCCTCTTCTTCTGCGCCTGCGTCGACACAAACGACAACGAGCTCGCCTTCCTCGAGGCCATCCACTTCTTTGTCGAGGTGCTCGACGCCTTCTTCGGCAACGTCTGCGAGCTCGACCTCGTCTTCAACTTCTACAAGGTCTACGCCATCCTCGACGAGGTCTTCCTGGCCGGCGAGATCGAGGAGACGAGCAAGACCGTCGTCCTCACTAGGCTGGAGCACCTAGACAAGCTGGAGTGAGCTTCTTGGCCGGTCAGGCGGGCAAGGAGATACTGCCTCGGGTGGCATGCATGCGTGACCTGGACCGTCAAATCATGGCCGCCGATACGGCAGTGGCTTATCACGCTTGGGCTTGACGAGGACCATGGGAACAGCCGGTATGTTCACGGCTACCTATCTACCTAGGTGGCTATCAACCTATTCTAGACACGGTTGGGAAAAGGGCATCCACAACTGCATGGGGTATCTGTAGGGGCAGTCATGAGCATGTATAGAGATAGCGCGCCACATCCGTCTATCTGATAGATAGATACACAACCGCGGGCGCAGTGCCGGATGCAACTGGATATGCGCATTCGTTCATAAACCCCCGACTTCCCGAGGGCAAGAACATTCCCCCGTGCATCGCCCCTCAACCGTCCTTGCCCCTGTTGATCACTCAATCGTGCTTCTTGTCCCACAGGTCGAGGGCCGACATCCGATTAGCCAGACATACCCGGGTTATCTCGCGGTTTTTCATGGCTCTCTGAACTGCGGGCGAGCATCGCGAGACTGGTATGATGTCTCCCAAAGCCTGGGGGTCTGGGGCTGGGGCTCCATTCTCTAGGCTGTCGTTCTCGGAGCCGATTTCAGGGTCGTCGCGTGCCATTCCCGCATCCTTAGACGGCGGTTGGGCGGCCTGGGCAAGCAACTCCTCTCCCAAGGCCTCTAGAAAACGATCGGCCTCAGCGAGAGCGAGTCGCATGGCCTCTCCCTGGTCTGTAGCGGTCGTCGTGTGGCTAGACTCCCGTCCAGGATGGAGACAGGGAGAATGTGAGCCCTTTTCAATAGGCCGTGTCCAAGGGGATTGCGTTCCACCTCGGCTCGACCAGCCGTCCGAACCTCGCAGGCTGTTGCTGTCCGTGTCCGTGCGATCGGCAGACCGAAGGGTGACTGAGTGGCCGGGGCGTGAATGAGCCCAACCTTGATCCGATGATTGTATCGTGTTGTGGGGGCTTCCGCGACGACTTCCATAGGCAGATCCTGTACCCATGCTTGAGCTTTGCTCCCAGTCCTCGAGTCTAAGTCGCTTTGGAGACCGAGACCTGTTGTACCTCCTCGAGTATGCGATTGGAGAAAGCTCCCTTCTACCTTTGGAAGGGCTTCTCACTCGGCTCTTGTCTCTATACCTCGACTTGCTTCGGTGTCGGTGCCTGTCTTCATCACCGTACTTTGACCTGCTCCGGTATTTGTCGATGACATCGTCTCTGTATCTAGACTTGCTTCGATACCGGTGCCTTTCGTCGTCCCTGTGCCTCGACTTGCTTCGGTATCGGTGCCTGTTCTCGTCCCTGCGCTCGTCCCAGTCCTGCCTTGCAGGCATAGACCTCGGGATGCTACGGTCTCTTGCTCCGCTCGGGCTTGGTTCTCTCGTCCGCCCTCTACTGGCGGGCCTCGCGCCTTGGTGCTGCGCACGGAGGCGCCGCTGGTAGAGGGAAGACTTGTCCGCGTTGCGAGGGCAAAGACTGGTGATATGCTGTCCTACCTCGCGGCATATGTGACACCTGTAGCTTTTCGGCGTCTTATCATAAGCTGGATCGAGATTGGTGGGACACAGGTGAACAAAATGACCTTTTGAAGTGCGAATAATCAGCAAGTCTGAAGAAATCAAAAGCGGTTATACTTGGATGCGAGACACGATTGCGTACCAGGAACGCCGCAGCGGCTACAAACATAGCCAGCCTTTGGTGCCAACGACGTCGAGGAAGAACTATTTCTCTGCTTGTCCTTCTTCCCGTCACCCTTTCGCTGCTGGGAACCCTTGTGACCGACAATTGATAGCTTCCTCATGGGAGTATCAACCCCGTTTCCAAAAGGCTGGCGGACAGGTAGTTGCGTCTCGGTGTCGGAAGTGGCTGGGGGAGTGTTCTTGACGGGAGGCGAGGTAATGCGATCGATCTCCTGCATGGCGAGCTGGGTTCTTCTCAAGGAGCAAGGGTCTGAGGCGGTTTGCCTGGCGGAGAACTGCTTGAAGGAGTCCAAGATGTCGCCCGTCGTGAAGTTTTGAGCGTAAAGTGAGGCACACCAAGCGAATATCTGAGCCGCGTGCTCTTTCTCTTCAGATTGATCGAGATGGCCAACGGCATGGTACAGCCATCTGCAGTACGCGTCTAGGATTTGTGCTTGAGATAATTGTTCGGTGCCCGAGAGACGCTCTAGGGCGGTGGAGAGCTCTGCAAGAGTGGTTTCCCCGTCTGCTGGAAGAGGTATTGATTCCATCCCGCCCTCTGGACAGGTTCTCGGAGCTTCTGAGAAGTGCATCGAGCCCGGTGGTGGAAATCAAGGAGGAGTGGTCATGTTACCTCGGGCCAAGGTAGATATAACCAAGGTTTTCCTATCCGATACTGCCTTCTGCTGCCGAACGTTGACTCTGATTTTGAGACTAGTGATAGGAATGTGATAAAAGAAAATGGTGCCGTTCCGAAAAGGGCGGGGGGTTGGTTTGGGGAGTAGCAGTGGGCGAGATTCAGAAGATAGTTGGACAGAGTCGGGGTCTTGATGAAGGAGCTAGAATGGAGGCCTGTGGGAGTATGAACGCCAGGCGCGGAATGAACTTGAGGGAAGCGAGGCTCCACTGAAAGAGGAAGGAACTCGAGGTTGGTAGGCAGACAAACGATCCAACGGTAGGAGCGTTTGCGTGCGTCTTGGGGTGCGCCTTCTTTGTCTTGGAACGGCCACCCAGCGCACAGACGGTGCGGCAGAGGCTCCAATCATATGACGTTTAGGGCCAGTATAAATGCCAGTCTCAGAGCACGTACTTGCTAGAAATACCCGCGATATACCACGTGCACGGATAGGAGCATAAAATGGTAAAATATGCCTACCGATCTGTTTGATATCTAAAGGCGAACGCTCAGGTACGTGCCTACCAACCTACACATCAGGCCGCGAATAAGAGGCATCGTGTGCACGCCTAAAAAGGATACCCAGGGCAGGTGGAGCAGATATTGGGTCTCTTAGAAACGGTAGCCAGCCACGCGAGATAAAAGTAGCAAGACCAAGGCAACTAGGTGGATGGGCGTAGGAAGTAAACATGGAGAACGATAAAGGGAAGTGAAAAAAGGCAGAGTGTTGTCACAAAGACACCAGAAGCCACCGGCAACGCGGACCTACTCCCCCCTTCACCTCTTTAAAGCCGCAAACCTCTTTGCGATCTCGTCGAGTTCCGGCAGTCCGTCGCCGCTAGGTTTACTAGCTGCTGCGGTTGGCTTCTTGGCAAGCCCTGCGTCCACCATCTTCTGGCTCGGTTTCAGCTCCATGCTATTGAGGGTTACCCTCGGATGGATGTTGTCGGTCGAGGGGCTGGGTGGGTTGACCCGGAGTGGGCTACCGGGGCCTATCGTCTTTGGCGGTGTCGCCTTGCTCAGTCCCGCCTCTACGTCCGCCGCGTTCTTCTGCTGGCCTCCGCCGCCATCGCCGCCGCCAGGTCCTTCATCGTCCTTGCCGTCGACGAGGTCGTCGATCTCGGCATCCACCAGGCTCGGTGGCTCCCCCGGCTCCTTCCTGGGCGGCCAGTTGACGCCGTACGCGCGCGCGATCTCCTCCAAGTACCCATTGACGAGCTCCTCACGGGGCGGGGTGATGCTGAGCTTGCGCACGACCTTGTCGGCGACCTTGCCGTCGGCGTTTGTCGAGGCGGCCAGGATGAAGTCCTTGCCGAACCGCTCGCCCAGCAGCGCGCGCACCGCGTGCAGCTCCTTGACCTCGGTCTTGGGGGCGGCGTAGACGATGCTCTTGGCAGCCTCCTCGAGGCCCGGGTCGCACGTCGGGCTGTCGAGCAGGCCGGCGCGCGCGAGGAGCAGCTCGCAGTAGAGCTCGAGGACCTCGTGCACCTCGGTCGTGATGTCGGACCGAATGATGTTCTCGACCCGGATGCGCGCCGACTCGACCTTGCCGGACTCGAGCAGCTGCGCCATCAGGCGCCGCTGCGACTTGGACGTTGCCTCGTCGCGCTGCTGGATCATGCGCAACCTCGCGATCGACAGCTTCAGCTGCACCTTGATCTTGGTCTGTGGATGGGGTGTAGCAATAACATCGGGTTAGCCCTTCTGGACAGCAAGGCGCTATTTGCGCGCCGGCTGTTTGGCGGAGCGCAAATGCGGCGCACAGCGGCGGCCTGTTTGTCGTTGTCCTTCCGCCAAGGCCCTTGAGTTTGCATCGCGTGAGGGGTCGCTTACCACGATGGACACGGAGGGGGGCATGGTGAAGTTGTGACGAAGGTGTAAGAGTAAGCGCAGCCGGTAGTTTCGCAAGATGCGCTTTGGCTCGAGGATGGCGGTTGCAAAAGTGCCGGCCTCGAGAGACAAAGGATGGATGCCGATGCAAGTCCGGAGTAAAGGAACTCGTCGGAGTTGCTTGCCTAGTCGATCCGTGATGACGTTAGCTGGGGCCCACTGCGGGGTTTCGTTGTGCTTGGAGTTGCGCAAGCCGCCGCAGGGGCCGACAGGGGTCAGTGACACACCCAGTGTCCAGGTTATCCAACGCCAGGTCGCAGAGCCTCAAGCGTGGACTAATTTCCTAGGTGCCAGTCATCGACATCAAGTGAAACCTGGTCCGCTATATACCTTGTTATTCGGCAGGAATGCTTTCAAACAGCCACTACTCAATCCTACTTATACACAAGCAAGAGGTGGAGGTGGTTCGCTGTAGTTCTAATTGTGAAAAATAATTCAGCAAAAATAGCATATTATGAGACTTGATCGAGTTCAGTGCGGCGCCGTAAGTAAGCCAAAAGGAAAGTGTCTCCCCAATATTAAACGCCTTGCAATCAGGTATCGCGGCTCCCCGGTGGTGATATCCATCGAAATGACCCAAACGAACTCCGGTTGAAACGAGAGATAATAGAAGAAGAAAATGAGAGAAGAATCGCGTTAAAGACAAGCCAAGCTTTGACGCAGCTGGGGACGCCGTATCAGAACTGTAGAGAGAATGTGCGTACGAGTTAGCACGACAGTCATCAAGTCCGAGGAGGCGATGGAAAGGACACTCAGCAAAAGCGAGTTTGTCATACCAACTTGAGGCCGGTGTGCTGAGACAGGCGCGTGCCGTTGAGCATGGCGCGGGACTTCTTGGGGCGGGCCTGCATGCGACGGAAAGCCTCCTGCACGTGACGGGCCTCGACCGGGGTGCGGCCCTCGCTGGGCGGGTCGAACAGCCCCGTGTAGAGCTTGCGCTTCTTGTTTCCAGCCTTCTCGCCCACGCCCGTGCGCTCCTTCCACATCTCCTCTTGTTCCTTGAGCTTGAGCGACTCCTCTGTAAGCATCTGAACCATCTCAAAGGTTAGGAAGCCGAGGATGTCGACGATGTCGTCCGACGGCCGTCCGTCCGTCACCACACCGAAGCCAGCCCACTCGCGGAACCGCTTGCCCTTGCGGTACGTGAACGAGGCCTGGCGATACTCGGACCAAGTCACATACTCCTCCTTAGTCATCACCTTGGTGCGTTCGTCCGCCTTGCGGAGGCGCTGCAGCGTGATGTGGTTCATCTCCTCTTCCTCCTCGTCGTCCTCGTCGTCACGCTCCGGGACCTCTTGGCTGTAGAAAGACGACGGCTCCCAAGGCAGGCCGACCTTGGCCTTCTTGTTCTTCTTGGTTGTGTCGTCGACCGGACCTCCCGGCACAACTCCGCCCACCGGATCTTCACCGGCTCCAATATCGGCATCGGCACCCTTATCGTCCGAATCTTTAACGTTTTTGCGCACATCCTTCCAAGACAAGAACGTCCGCAAACGGGACACCTTGGCCGCGTCGTCCCTGATCTGAAATATGAGGTCGTTGATAGTGATGGAGCGCGATCCCCGACGAGCAGCAAGCTCGGTGCAGTTCCGCAGCTACAGTGACATGGTCAGTTTGAGCTCTATCTGTTGGCCAGGGACGAGGCTGGCTCATGGATAGCAGACTCACGATTTCTATGACTTGCTGGCGGACAATCTCTTCAATCATACCAGTAGTCTCAACTGAAGGTTCACCTGTCTCGCCAGAGACATACATCATCTGTTCAATGAATTCGGTGAGCGGGTGGCCCTGAAACGACAGCCGAGGTTTTCCTGCGGCGGGGTTGACGACACCGAGATAGCCCTTGCTATCGATGGACAAAGGCAGTAGCACAGACTGTTGGCACTTGTCGGTTCCAGCCTGTGAAGCGATAGAGGCCATAGCTCTCTCGCCATGGAGGGCAAGACGGATGTTGCTCTCCATGCCGACGACAGGCGCATGCCTGTCCTCTTGATGCTTGAGAGCCAGTGTTCAAGTGCGCTTGCGTGCTTGACCAGTACTGTTTTGCCGTAAAAAAGTGCGCCTTTGCGGATAAGTAGAATAAGCTGGCTTCAAAAGTAGAATGGTGTCGCGTGTGGTTGAATATGAGCGGTAGTAAGCTTGCTCATGGCGAATGCAACCATCAAAAGGCGACGACTTGCGTGGTGCCCGGCAGATGATGGACGTATGAACAGTCGGTGATATGCTCGTAAGGGGTTGACATGTTGAGGCTGTTGATGCTCACCTGCTGGATCTCCTGCCGGTACTTGAACTGCTTGCCATCTTTATCGGCCATTCTCGATACTCTCACAAGGTGGGCGGTCTACACGTCCCCGACAGCCCAGAAGGGAAATTAATGACGCGAAAATATATAAGGAAAGATAATGGCGGCAGACAGGTCAAATATAGTATAATCAATATGCACGAGCAACGAATGGCGGTGGGGAGCCGTGGGATCGGTTGCGCGCAAGTATAAAGACCAAGGATGGAGATGTCGGTCGGATTGAGCCAGCAAGGAAGAGAAGTTTCACGCCGAGGCCTGTCATTGAGCCGCGCGACGGAGGAATGGCTTGGTCCGTGCATATGCACCCCAGCCGACACAAGCCTTGGGGCGCAGCCAATCGAAGCTGCGTGTGGAGAATGGGAAGCCATGCACTACAAAAAAAGGCTGGGGACACAGCTCCGATTGGCATTTCTAATCGCTGTTCTTTTAGAAGTTTATTCGGTTATCACATTCTCGAATGATGTATAGATGATCCGGCCTGTCTAGGTACCTAGGCAGTATGCGATCATGGCTAATGGAATGGGTCAGACTTTGCCAGTCTTCAGGTAGCTTTACTCCGTCTTCCATCCAGCTCAAAGGTCCTCCCAAAACCTAAAGCCGGAGCCCCTCCACCCCCACGAGATCACGTAGTGACCCGCAAGCAGCTTCCACTCCTCGACCTCATCCAGGCCCTCGAGCGAGTCGACTCTCTCCTTCTCGGGCTCTGTAATCCATTTAGCCCAGATGTCGTCTACCGTCAGATGACTCGCGTGCTCCAAACCCAAGGCTCTCAGCCGCGCCTCCTGGTCCACCGGCAGCCTGTAGTCTTGCAGGGTGGGCATGGTAATGCCCCTCGCTGCCAGATTTGAGATCATGGTCTTGCCAAAGGGGTCATCCGGCTTTGTCGGCTCGTATATGATGACGCCGAGGTTGGGGATCTTGTCAGCGAACCACTTGATCACGTCCCTGGCCTCGGACGTCTCAAGGTAGCAGAGGCAGCACTCGGACACCAGCAGGGTCGGGATGTCTGTCCTCAGGCCCTTCAACGACGACTCCTCGGGCTGCTGGGCAAGTTCCCGGAGGTCCAGTCCATGGAAGTGGAGCTGCGACTTGCCGTCGGAGGTCTGACAGCACCATGACGACCCGTCGTCCTCCATTGTAGGAGTTGAGAGCAGGCGCCTCAATGCGGGAGCCTTGATTATGTTTAACTTCTTTGCGCAGATTAGTGGGAAGTCAATTTCATGGTAGACAACGCCCGAGACGCCAGGCCGGCCGAGAAGCCGAAGACTCCTTGTGTCGGTGCCCGCGCCGAGCGAGATGATCTGCCTCTCCTGTGGCTCCTCGTCGGCGCCCTGGGGCGCGGCGACGAAGCGTTCGATAAGAGTGTCAAGACCCGAGGTGCGTGTGTAAGTTCCTGCACAAGCGCAGAGTCAGGAAGCCAACTCCTAAAAAGGCAAATCTGATGCGCGTGGCGAGGCAGACAAACCTCTATTGATGATTGGCAGGCGGCGAGTCGAAGGGCCTGGACCGGCCTGCTGGACGAAATAGTGGGCAAACGGGTCCCGTAGATACCCCAGTTCCACCGCGCTCAGGCGCGAGACAGCGGCGTCGGTGTCTGTGCCCTGAATCGTGGCGTCGTGACCAGCTCCGCGGGCTGCTGACGGCCCTCCGCCGCCGCCACCCCCACCACGCCGCTGGGCGCGGCCACGGGCACCGCCTCTGGCCCCCCTCAGCGACAAGAGGTTAGGGATCGAGGAGGCCGACATTGGGATCCAGATGCTCTGGACAGGGCGCCGTGGTCTGAGCAGTATTGAAGGCGGATGAGTCTGGTGATGGACGAAGATACACGGGACGAAAGACCCAAGGTGACGGTTGAGTACCTATGTCCGATACAGATGATGCGAGGGACAGGGATCAAAATGTATGGCCTTGGGTGGGTAGCACTGATGAGCCGGACCCTGATTGATGATGTGTGGAGGATTCAATGATGGTGCTTTGGACGGCCAGTGGCCGCCCGGATATGGGGTCTGACGCGGAGGCCCGCCCACCACTGTGGGCGGCTGGTTGCCTTGCCCAGCGTTCTAGGCGGGTGGTGATTCGCAACGAAACGTTTCACGCAGCAACGGAAAGATCTGTCGCATAATACCCCAAGGCGATTCTGGCGGGAGCGAGGCGAATGCAATTGTGGATTCTATACTTATGCAACAATGGATGCGCCAATGGTGTCTTCGTGATGGTAATCATGAAGACTCAAAGAGAAGCCGGTCCAAACTCTGAGCATAATCGATCGGCCTTTTGCATGGTAGACGTGGGCGTTGGGAGAACAGGACACCCAAGCTCGGTTGACGGCCCGTGCCCAAAATAACATAACCTGCGTCCCAAGCCTGCCAGGGCCCCAATCCTTTCCCCACGGTTACGTGGCGCTTCCTGGCCTGCTGGCCTTGTAGTTGGCGATAGAAGTGTCCATCACTCCATAATGGATGGCGGGTGCCGTTGGTCAAAAAATCAATCAAGTCGCTGGGCGGCGCGGCTGGGCTGAGTCGGCTGGGACGCTCTTTGGGGTTGAGGCAGGTGTGGATACCGTCTGGGGGCTGAGCCGCGCGGCGGTCCAGGTTGGTCCGCTGCGGCAAAAAAGAGAAAGAGCGGCGGGATTCGTGACACGGATTGAAGCAACAGCGCGGCGCCCGCTAACGGGGTGGTGTGCTGATCCCCATCGTGACTGCCTGACAGTGCTAAGAATAATTGAAAACATAAAGACCCTGCCTAGTCTTCCCTACAGCTCTCGTCTCACCCGCTAGCCTACTGACTTATGTACACTTTTGCTTCATTGCCAAATCCCGGCCATTTTTACTGCCCGCCAGCCTTTTCTTTATCGTGTTCCTTGTTCATCTTTTTTGTAATTCTCATCTCCAACTTGGTCAAACACCTCACTGCTCGGCCATCTGAGAGCCCTGGTCCGGGACTCTGCACCGTTTCTGCTTCGTCCTTGACGTCGTCATTATCGCCAACGCTGCCAGGAGGAGAAACCAGTGCCAGCCGATTGATACAGCTCCACGAAAATGCATGGCCTCGTGGCTGCCGTGGGCCTCGAGCTCACCAAAAGAGCCGCGGGAGCGGACGGCGATGTGGCGGCCAATGTGTCGGGCTTCTGGGTCTTCCTGATCGCCCTTCTCAATGTCGCCGTCTTCCTGCCGCTGTCGGTCTTTGTAAGCACCTCCTCCTCTGGGGATCCCTCGATGGGCAACCAAGTAGACGAACTGCCGGCAGATGACCGCTAACCAGCAAAACGCAACACGCGACAGGTTTTATATACGTTCGGTGGTGTCCTTCCCACGCTGGCCATGATCGAGGACCCCCACGCGAGCTCACGATACGTCGAACTCTCCCCCTCGCTCGACGACGACGAAGATGACGAAGACGCCGAGTTCGAGAACGCCCATCAGCCGCGCCGCAACAAGCCGCGCACCAACCCGCAGGCCCCGGTCGCCGTGGAGGGCGTCGTCTTCACGTCGAGCGTACGCGCCACCCTGCGCCAGCTGTACCGCCTCGGCGGCTGGCGCGCCCTATTCCGCGGCCTGTTCTGCGCGTGGGTCGTGTCGGTGTCGACCGCCACAGTCGGCGCCATCGTCAGCACCGTGCCGTTCGTGCCATTCCTCGTCGGCACCCTCGTCGCCAACCTGGCGCTCGTGCAGCTGCACACGGCCTGGGTCCACATCGTCATCTCGACCAAGCCCGTCTCGCTCGCCTTCTGGCGCCGCATGCCCGCCTTCCGCCGCACATTTGACGCCACAAAGTACGTCGTGCTCGTGCAGTGGTTCGCCACCACCCTCACCCAGTACCTGCCTTTCGGCGTCGCCTGGCTCGTAGGCGTCCCGCAGGCCGCCCTGAACCTCTACAACCCCAACCCAGCCGACGACGACTCGGCCCCGGCCGGTGGCCAGCAGCCTATCGCGGCCTGGAAGCACGTCACCATCCTGGCCGCCGTCATACTCTGCCTCCTATTCATCCACATCCCCGCCGCCGTTGCGCTGGTCCGCGTCCAGGCCAGCATCCTGCCCCCCGAGGAGGACACGGTCGTGCCCTTCGACCGCTCGTTCGGCGGCACCGTCGAGCCCGCCGTTATCAACGGCAGCGCCTCCGTCTCCATACCCAACGCCCTGCGCACCTTCTCGCGCGACAGCTGGGTCCGCCTCTACAAGCTGATGGCCAAGGTCATCGCCCTCACCTTTGTGCTCTTCCTCTTGATCGCCGCCGTCATTGTCCCCCAGACGGTGCTCATCTCGCGCAGTGGTTGAAGAGGCGAAAGCATACATCCATACATTGAAATTGGGGCTTGTTTCTACGCCGAACGCACGCCACGTGGTTCTATGCATGCTGACTGATATTTACTGATGGTGCTGTCGGGTACCGGTTTCGTATACCTTGGGTTGCTAAGAGCTGCAGTATCTCTTCGTTGTTTGTCTCTTCTATTTGCGAGTAACTGGGCGGTGTTTGTGGTCATGACATTCTCCTAAACGGGGATATATAAGACGGAAGAAACGGGTGCGAATGGTCATCCGTTGATATTCACCAGCCGCGTCTGAGCATTGCCAAAGAATATACACGCTTCAAGGGTCATGAATGCTAAATTTCCATCGAACTCTAGTGCTCTCCAGAAGTCGCTGAATCTCGTGACCTGAAGATCCCATTGATGGTTAAACTTGATATATCCAAGAAAACAAGTCTCTCCGTCTAGCTGGCATAAACACCGCATGCGTCTAATATGCAACTAAAATACAGTGAGGCTTTTGAGAACCCGTTTTGTGCCTCTTGCGTGCGCGTAGTCTATCGGTCTCTCCAACAACAAGCACACCGTTGTAGTACATCTCGAAACACATCCTTTACAGCTTCGCCTTCTTGGAGTCCTGCTTCTGCATCTCCTCGGCCACGATGCGGCGCTGGATCTTGCCCGTGGCGGTCTTGGGCATGACATCGGTAAAGTAGATCTTCTTGGGCACCTTGAACTTTGCCAGCTTGTCCGCGACCCAGGCCCGCAGCTCGTCTTGGCTGAGCTTGGCGCCCGGCTTGAGCACGATGGCGACGGCCACCTCCTGGCCGTACATGTCGTCGGGGATGGCGAAGCTGACAGCCTCGGACACGGCCGGGTGGCGGGTCAGGACGTTGTCGAGCTCGATGGGCGAGATCTTCTCGCCCGCCTTGTTGATGAGCTCCTTGATGCGGCCCGTGATGACGAGGTAGCCGTCCTCGTCCATTTTGCCCTGGTCGCCGGTGCGGAAGAAGCCGCCCTTGGTGAAGGCGCCCGCGTTGGCCTCGGTGTTGTTGAGGTAGCCCTTTGTCACGTTCTCGCCGCGGATGCAGATCTCGCCCTCGGAGCCCTGGGCCAGCTCGTCGCCCTTGTCGTCCAGGATGCGCACCTCGACGCCCTGACCCACGCCGACGCTCCCCGGCTTGCGCTTGCCGACCTCGGGCAGCGGGTTGGACGTCATCTGGTGGGCGGCCTCGGTCATGGCGTAGGCCTCGAGTACGGGGGCCTTGAAGGCGGCCTCGAGTTGGGCAAAGGCCGTGGGGGAGAGCGGGGAGGAGCAGGAGCGGATGAAGCGGATCTGCGGGAGCGGGTTCGGCGCCGGGTGCTTGAGCAAGATCTGGTGGATGGTGGGCACGGCCGTGTACCAATTTGCGCCGTGGGCGGCAAAGTCGCGCCAGAAGTCGGTGGCCGAGAACTTTGTCGGCACAACCATGGAGCCGCCCGTGTAGAGAGGGGCCAGGAGGCCGCAGAGCAGGCCGTGCACGTGGAACAGCGGCATGACCAGCATTGTGCGGTCCGCCGGAGTCAACTTGTATGTGTTCTTGATGTTGTCTGTTGAGGTCATGTTAGCATGGGTACATGCAGTCAGGATGACACTGATGGCGAGGAGCATGTCAGGGAGCACATACTCATCGTCCTGGTCAGGTTCCGGTGCGTCAGCGGCACCACTTTGGGACGAGACGTGGTTCCGCTTAAAGTGGAAATGGATGGTCAGCCTTGAGGAACTTGAACACGATATGAGGTGCGGGGACAAAGACTCTCACCTGGTATGAAGCACCAGAGCAACATCGTCGGGTTGCGGCTCCAAGACCTGCTGGCCGCCCTTGCCCTTGAGCAGGCCGTAGTCCTTGACATCGAGGGCGACTTCACCCTTGCCGTCGTCCCAGTAGCATTCTGCGATGGCAGCATTGAAGCGGCGGGCAGCCTTGACAGCCGGGCTGGCGGCGTCAAAGGCGCCGCGGGGCACGAGCACGACGGCGGAGCCGACGTCCTCGATGTAGAACTCGAACTCGGCCTGCTTGTAGGCAGGGTTCAGGGGCGCGGCCACGGCACGCTGCCAGCTGGCGGCCAGGAAGGACACGATGAACTCGTACGAGTTTACGGTGGCGATGGACACGGCCGAGCCGTGGGTGATGCCCAGGGCGGCCAGCTTGGCCTGGAAGGCCGAAACGTCAGCGGCCAGCCGCCGGTACGACGCCGTCAGGGCAGCATCGGGACCCCGGGGGGAGGGGATGATGACGGCTGTGGCGTCCGGACTGCCGCCCTGGGTGGCGCCCTTGAGGGTAGCTGCCGATGCCATTGGCGCTTGTCTAGTGGAATTAGGAACAAAAAGGGGGCTGCCCAATGGGGATTTGGGTTTATTCTCCGGGTTGTAGCACAAGGGCTCTGGTGACTGCTTGAGGACAGTTTGCAGAGAAGATCGACGGCGGCGTGGCGGCTAGAACAGCGTGGTCGTACAAGGGAATGATGTGACAAAGCAAAGAGCCCAGTATCGGTACAGTAAAATAACAGCTTGAAGCCTGTTTGAGGTGAGGTGGTTAGCCAGTTATTGGGATAAGCACTGCTGGAGAATGGAAGGAAATAGCGCAAGAACGCGGTCCGGTCCGGCCAGGCTAGAAAAATCGGTCGACCGGCTCTGGGCTCAAGCTTGACGCGTCTCGTCCTGCCGTCTGTGCCCCCATTGTCGTGCCGTTTTGCCTGACCCTGTCATGGCGTGCTTAATGCCTGCCCAGCACTGGTGGAGAGGCCTGGCCGAGAGCCGAGCGTCTGGTGGGATTGGCCCACTGCTGCAGAAGGGTTCTACACAAGCACACAAGGAGGCGCATGCATCAATTTGGACTTGTTCCAGGACGCTTCCGGATCCCCGGCGACATGCATGTGCGTCAATCGGGGTGTTGTGTTTCTGAATAGCAATTACCCTTTCTGGACGACACAAGTGGCTCATTCTTTCTGGGCAGAAGATGCAGGCGGCAACCTACCTAGCAACGTGCTAGCGTACGTAATAATGGATGGCACATCTCAACAACCAAATCCCTTTCGGCCACGCGTGCACGCTCTGCTGCCAGCTCAGTTGCTCCGCTGCGTGTTGGCGGCAACCTGTTTGGTAGCGCCTGGACGTTCACTCCCCTGCAGCAGGTGCCTACAAGCTCCTAAAATCAAGCTTTCAAATGCAGAGGATGCGGGCAGGCATCTACTGCCCGGGCTATCTCAGCCGCACATTCGACCGATGTGATCTTGTAGGGCAATAGTACCCCTCTGGATGCACGCCAGTCCACACAATTTCTCACCGCTTCACCGACAGTTCGGCGGTTACTGTTGAGGTCACAGCACAAGGCATCTCCTACCACTCACTAGGCAGCCGTTAGCGCCTCGCCTCGGGGACTAACCGGACCATCCTGTCAGGTGCTAGAAGCGGGCATATATAAATACATCTTTTTCCCGCCTTTCTTCTCACGACAGTAACTCGCACTCAAGCCCGAGGGAGAGCATCATTAGATCGTCACCTCCTTAACGCCTTACACTTCATCCTCCCCAGCTCACGTAAACAAAAAACAACTTCAGTTCCATTGTCGACGCCATGACGGAATCACTACCCATTCGCGACTACCCTGGTATGGGCCTTAAACTGCGATACTGGTCCCCGCGCAACGGGACTCGAATTCAGGACCAGCCAGTATATCCCATTGGCGCACATACAGAATCATGCTCCCTGAAATCCACTCTCGTCTACGTCCGCGAGGCTGCCATGATGATCGTGATGGAAGCACTTACGGATAAGCCAGAATGGCACAAGAAAGTGTTTGACGACGTGATTGTGGCCAAGTGGCGCAAAGAGGCGCTTGCCATTCCAGACCGGTTTTTCTGGGACCAGATCACGTCGTTCAAGACACAGGATCCCACGGACGAGAACGGGGAGAACTCGGCGCCGAGATTGCAGCCCGTCGGAATCATGTCCGAAAAGGCGTTCGACTGGGTACGCCTCATCAGCTTCCTTCTACCCAACCAACCCTTACTTCGTACTTTATATCTTGCCTCTAACATCATCTCTCTCTAGTGCGTTGGGGAGCTCCGAGCCAAGGCTCGCCATTTCGAGGAAACCGGCATCGTGGTTACACTCGACCTCGGAGCCTCGGTTGCCAAGTCTGACATGCTCGTCACCCCTGAGCTTCATGCCGAGCTGCAGGCTTCCTTTGCGAAGCTCAAGGCTGACCAGGCATCGGCACCGGACTGGCACCCCAAGACTGACGAGAAGGTTCAGAATCTGGTGCACCCTTCGATGTATCCGCTAGTCTACGGCAGGACTCGCGTGCTCAGGCAGGAGGTTGTTGGTGTGGCCGACGCCATCGACCTCTGGGCTGGCAAGGGTGATATCCTGCCCAAGGGTGCTGTAGCTGCGGCGGCGAACCCGTATTTCTCCAGTATGCCAGACGATTTCTGTGAGTATCCATCTACGTACTCGATACCACTCGGTGTCATGGATGGGGCGCCGTAGATCCTCTGCGATCTGTCAAGAAACAAACCCCTAACTTCGAGTTAGGGTCGGACACGTTCCAGTGGCTCCCAAGTAACGTCGCCTTCCATGACGACGGCGGCGTCAGATTCACCAGCTACATCAACAATCTTCACCCACAGAAATATCCTCATATCTACAGGGCACTCGAGCAACTCATCGCAACGTCCATTCCCCTGTGGGAACAGTGCCTCACTGTGGATACATTTCGCCGGGAGATCGATGGGCCCGGGCGACGCTCGGCGCGTATCCCTATGCAGGACGAGGAACGGTGAGTTTCCAGGGTTCACTCTCTTGGACACAATCCGCTACTTCGCATGAGAGTTTGTCCTAATTCGCGTTCCATTGGGAAACTGGCTTCCAACAGGTGGGATCCTGCCAATATGGAAGAATGTGCCGACATGGAAGTTGACCCCAGCCTACTGGCTGCTGATGAGTATGAGTGGAAGCCCGAGATTGAGCGAAAGTGGAGGATTTTGCGAAAGGCTGTCCACCCAGAGCCTGAAAGCCAGGAGGAGGATGGCCGGTCGTACCAGGTACCCCCGGAATGCCGACTTGCTACCAAGTTCAAAGACTCGGGGCTCCAGGTCATTGTCAAGATGGCATCCATTGAACTCACTCCGGATAAGCCGGTATTCCCGGCTGGCAGTTGGCACGTAAGTTTTGCCTCGTCGACTTTCATTGACTCGTATCGCAAGGCTGCGGAGCGCTGGTTCCCTAACAAACCACATTGTGATGAACAGATCGAGGGACAAATGAATGAGTGCATCTGCGCCACGGCTCTGTACTATCTGGACAGCGAGAACATCACCCCCAGCCATCTTGCGTTCCGCATGGAAACTGAGCCCGAGGACGACATTCCCTATGAGCAAGGCGAGTTCGATTGGCATGAGCAGGTTTACGGGACCTATGTGAATGACGGTTCGGACTCGAGCTGTCTCCAGAATTATGGCTCCGTCGAGACTAAACAGGGCCGGCTGCTGGCATTCCCCAATGTTCTGTAAGTTGTAGCCCACATCACTCGCCACACACATATTCTCGTCCACCTCCTATTTCTAACACTCAATCGCTTTTCTAGCCAGCATCGAGTCTCATCCTTCCGATTGGCCGACCCTACCAAGCCAGGGCACCGACGCTTTGTCGCTCTGTGGCTCGTGGACCCTCATAGACGCATTATCTCGACGGCAAACGTGCCTCCGCAGCAACGGTCTTGGTGGGCCGAGGCAGTCCTCGGCGTATCCGCAGGGGCACGCAAGGAGGTGGCCGCGAAGTTCCCTCCCGAGGTGCTCCGCCTAGTTCACCGCCAGGCCGAGTCGGTTGGGGATAAGTTGTCCCACGAGGTTGGCGGCCATGGAGAGGAGGCCACGACTGACTCCACGACGCCTCGACTCCCGGAGGAGCTGATACAGATGATTCAAGACCACGTGAAGGATGACGACACGCTGATGAGTGAGGAGGAGGCCCGGAAGCATCGGCTCGCTTTGATGGCCGAGCGGTCGCGGTACCATGCCAATGCGATCACTTTCTGGAGCGAAACTACGTATAACTTCTGCGAGCATTGAAAACAAAGCCATGAGTGCTTTCTGTTCCGCTCGTCGAGGGTAGGATGCTGAAAGGCGTCTGCTTGGGAGACCAATACCGAGAGAGGGGGGTATATCTGGGCCAGTCAGAGAGCGACAAAATGTTACATATATACAATCTACACAAGCCCACAAATACAGAGAGCTCCACACGATATAGCAATTTCGCTGAATCAGATACACTCGACGAGCGCCCAGTTCGCGGGCATTAGAATGATGGCGGAGAATGTACCCTTAGATATATCCTAGGCATCCGTTCTACTAAACTCCTAGATCTTAGAGTGGTTAGTCTCTATTGCTCCTGTATTCAAAGTCAAAGGGGCTGGGAAATTGGTGGTAGATATCTGTAATGCGGATGGAAGCCATCCCATCCCGATGGGGTTCCCAGGGCGCCAGCCACTAGTTCGGTGAGCGATTTACAGCCTACTTAAGTAGGTGAATAAATAAATAAAGATAAGAAACGAAGTTTTATTGCCTTGTATATATTCCCTTGTTGATTGCACGGATGTCAGAGGAGCTCAGAGGAGACACTCAGATCACGTGCCAATCGAGCGACAAACTAGTTGCGGGTCCGTTCTAGAAGAGCTAGGCCCTGGTTTCCGTGCAGTTGAGCAAGGCCCGCCGCCTGCTGAGGGTCAATCGTAACAGAGGCTGCGTCGTCATCGGCTCCAAAACAAACCCACCGCACGCACCATAATTGAACTCCTCCCCATTGTCGCTGCCACAGCCCTCCGCCGTCTATGCTTGCCAGCTGACCGCCGCGAGTCGATATCGATCGCCCTCCTTCTCCGTCGAGGCCGCAGGGCAGACAAGGACACCCACCGTGAGAGCTATTGTCCGCCGAGCCCCGCGCCACTCGGGCAAGATTGCGCCGACAATGGCGTCCGTTCCCGCTCCGCCCGAGGACCAGGCCCGCCTGCTCGAGGATGCGTTGATTGCTGTGCGCCAGCAGACTGCCATGATGCGCAAGTGCCTCGATACCCCAGGCAAGCTCATGGACGCCCTGAAGTGCTGGTAAGCAAGCTATCCTTCTCTCGCTTAGCGGTCCGGGCAAAGATGCGCGAGCGCTGTGGCGACGCGTCGTCGAGCATCTAAGCCAGGCCACGGCGGGCTAACGTGTTGAACCCCCCCTGCGCTGCAGCTCCACGCTCGTCTCGGAGCTTCGAACAAGCAGTCTAGGCCCCAAGCAGTACTACGAACTCTACATGTCCGTGTTCGATGCGCTGCGCTACCTATCAGTCCATCTCCGCGAGAACCACCCCGTAAACCACCTTGCCGATCTTTACGAGCTCGTCCAGTATGCCGGCAACATAATCCCCCGCTTGTATCTTATGATCACCGTCGGCACCGCCTACATGGACATCGACGCTGCGCCCGTCAAGGAGCTCATGAAGGACATGATGGATATGAGCCGTGGTGTCCAGCACCCCATCCGTGGCCTCTTCCTGCGCTACTACCTCACAGGCCAGGCCCGTGACTTCCTGCCGACGGGCGAGGGCGACGGTCCCGAGGGCAATTTGCAAGACTCGATCAACTTCGTCCTCACCAACTTTGTCGAGATGAACAAGCTGTGGGTGCGCCTACAGCACCAAGGCCACTCCAGGGAGAGGGAACAGCGGACGCAGGAGCGCAAGGAGCTGCAACTTCTTGTGGGGTCCAACCTTGTGCGCCTGAGCCAGCTGGTCGACCTTGAGGCGTACAAGACCGTCATCCTCGCGCCCCTCCTCGAGCAGGTTGTGCAGTGCCGCGACGTGCTAGCTCAGGAGTACCTACTCGAGGTCATCACCCAGGTCTTCCCAGACGAGTACCACCTGCACACCCTCGATCAGTTCCTGGCCGCCGTCTCACGATTGAACCCCCACGTCAACGTCAAGGCCATCGTGATTGGCCTGATGGACAGGCTGTCCGATTATGCGGAGCGCGAGTCCCAAAACGAGCCAGACGACGACAGGGGCAAGATGGAGGAAGATGCGCTGGCGGAGCTGCTGGAGAAGACGAAGTTGGCAAAAGAGCAGGCTGAGGCGGCTCCACAGCCGCAACCCGAGGCCGACACGAAGCCCTCAGAGCCGGAAGCCGAAGAGACAGCCAAGACCGAGGGCGGCGAAGCCCCCGCAACTGACACAACGGCTACCGGCGAGACTGGGGCAGTCGAAGCAGCCAAAGGAGCCGAAGGAGCTGAAGCAACCGAGTCAATAGCAGACAGTGAGACCACGGCCGTGAATGGTCAGGAGGCTGAGGTCGAGGCCCGACAAGAGGAGAACGGGGCGGACAGCGTCAAAAAGCATAGGGGCATCCCCGAGAACGTGAAGCTCTACGAGATATTCTTTGGGCAGGTCAAGAATCTCGTGCAGGCCCAGCATCTCCCCATCCAAGACACGATTGCCTTGTTGGTGTCGCTGGCAAACCTCGCACTTAACATCTACCCCGAGCGCCTGGACTACGTCGACCAGGTGCTGGACTACGCCAATCTCAAGGTGAGGGAACACGCCAACAGCCCGGAGCTGCATTCTCCTCCGGCACAGCAAAGCCTCCTTGCGCTACTCCAAGCGCCCCTCAAGCGCTACGCCAGCCTCTTTACGGCTTTGGCGCTCCCCACCTTTGTGCCTCTCTTCCAGTCGCAAACGTACCCGACGCGCCGAGCCGTGGCGGGCGAGGTGGCTAGGAACCTCCTTCGCAACCACACACTCATATCGACGCCAGAGCAGCTGGAAAACGTGCTGGAAGTCATGAAGGTGCTGATAAAGGAGGGCTCACACCCGCCGGCAGGGTACCCGGGTGTGGTTCAGCCTAGGCAGCGGGCGACTGAGACGGAGGAGACCATGGAGGAGCAGGGCTGGCTGGCACGCATGGTGCACTTGCTTCACTCAGAGAACAACGACATCCAGTTCCGGCTGCTGCAGATGACCCGCAAGGCGTACGGTGAGGGCAACGACCGCATCAGGACAACGACGCCTCCTCTGGTGACGGCGGGCATGAAGCTGGCGCGCCGGTTCAAGGCGCGCGAGCACTACGATGACAACTGGTCATCACAGTCGTCGGCGCTCTTCAAGTTCCTGCATTCGACCATCTCGACGCTGTATGCCCGCGTCAACGGCGCGGGCGCGGCGGAGCTCTCGCTGCGGCTCTTTTGCTCGTGCGGCCAGTCGGCTGACGCGGCCGGCTTCGAGGAGGTGGCCTACGAGTTCTTCGCGCAGGCCTTTACCGTTTACGAGGAGGCCGTGTCCGACTCCAAGGCGCAGTTCCAGGCCGTGTGCGTCGTCGCAAGCTCGCTGCACCAGACGCGCAACTTTGGAAAGGAGAACTATGACACCCTCATCACGAAATGCGCTCAGCACGCCAGCAAGCTGCTGCGCAAGCCGGATCAGTGTCGTGCCGTGTACCTGGCCAGCCACCTATGGTGGGCCACCCCCATTGCGGCCAACGACGAGGGTGAGGATGCCGAGGTGAGTATTCGTGCATTTTTGTCCCTGAATCGAACATGTGTGTCCAAAGGTGTATCTGACAAGACGAAAACGGGACAGCTATATCGCGACGGCAAGCGTGTGCTCGAGTGCCTCCAGCGGGCGCTCCGAGTCGCCGACTCGTGTATGGAGACGGCCACATCAATCGAGCTGTTTGTCGAGATTCTTGACCGATACGTCTATTACTTTGACCAGCGGAACGAATCGGTGAGTTTGCACGCAGATCCCTGCTACTTGCCCCATGGCCTGCCAGGGCTTTGGACTCATATATCTAACAGACTCGCGTTCTCAAAAAGGTGACGACCAAGTACCTCAATGGCCTTATCGAACTCATCCACTCCAATTTTGCCGGCAGCCAGCAGGACTCGGCGTCGGTTGAGGCATGCAGAAAACACTTTCAGCACACACTGGATCTCATCCGCAGCAAGGAGTACGAAGGAGTGGTGCTGTCTCCGAAATAGTTGTCGTGCCTTATTGCCGTTTTAAGTAATCGTCGGCAGGTGTAATGGAGCTCGGCCAAACCCAGCGTCTCTATTTGTCTTTATGTTTCCCAAGCGGAGTCCTCGCCTAAAATGAAAGATTCCTCGACCAGGTTGAAGATGTCACCTTTCCCCACCCAGACCCAGAGAGATTCAAAGTTTACCAGATGCCGCCAAGAGATGTTTTGTTGTTTTGGACTATCAAATCACGTTGAAGAGAGGCGGCTGTCAGAACCGCGGCGTGCTAAATGCAACATAGCGGAATCCTATGGAATCGCCCGTCTGAGCTGCTTCTATGGTTAGGGTGAGTCTGTCTGCCGATTGCGTCGCCTTGGATTTCTACGCCACATGGCCTTGATCGCCGTCTTGGGTTGCTCTGGCACATTCTAGCGCGTAAGGTGCTACGTTTATTAGTATACGTGTCTTGGCAGCATGGCCACACGCACTGGTCCCGGAGACGGATGCATTCTACTTGTTCAACCGGTTGCTTATCCATGGCATTCCGTGTCCCGCCTGCCCGGCGCCGAACCAAGCATGACTGGGCACATGTGCCGAAAGGTATTCTGTGTGGACGTGACTCCAGGTACATGCCAAAAAGGTCAAGTCGCATATCAAACCCACTACCCTCCGGTCCGAGGGCACGAAGGTGGCTCGACAGTGCACCTCCATTCCAGAGGGTATGAGTCGCGCATCGGCAATGGGTCCCCTCTCGCTGGAGGTGGTCGGTTGCATTAGGATTATTGCCGAGAGGTAGGTCACGGTCGACGTGGTGTGATTATATTGTCGACAAAAGAGGGGTGAGTGGGTGTGGTTTCTAGCTAATGGACAAGTAGATGATAACTATCATCACGGGGACTGAATGGATGATACATAGGTCTGTAGAGCCTGAGAGTTAAAAAAAATAAAAATAAAAATAAGCCAATTGTCCGCAATTTTTGGGATTGTTTGCTCAACGTTTTCCACCGTTTGGTGGTTTTTCTTGCCACCGCCCCGGCCCGCCGGCGGGCGACTCCGCTTGGCAAACGTCGAGGTCATGGCGAGGCGGGAACTTTATATGAGCATGATTGCACAACTGTGGTCGGCGAAAGCTAATTTAGCCTGGCTAAGAAAATTGGTGTTTCTCGATTGGAAAGTGCACTGGGTTCACCAAGATCTTGTTTCCACATCATGGAACAGGAGCGCAGAGAATTTGCACATAAACCAGAACATCATTGCTCCAACCTGGCGACGGCGGGAGTCTGGGGGCGGAAGCATTGGTCCCAACCGCTCGACCATCCCGAAATCTCACGAGAGATTGCTAAAAAGGATGCCTCGGCATTTAACTGATATGAAAAGGCGCCTGGGTTCTAATCACGTTTCTTATATTCGCCAGGTCAAGAGCCTGCCACCCAGCCAGCCAGCATCTGCAAACAATGGGACAAAGGATGAGGGGAGTTGATGCGAGGGTCGAGCGCCAACAGCCCGACATCTGTCCGTGCTCGGGCGAGAGCTTCTCTGCGCATCCGAGCAGACGACTTGGTCATGGCTGCGAGCTGGGTGGTAGCGAGGCGCGGCAGGGATCTACCTACTAGGTATGTGGGTAAGCATCGACCGGAGCCGATTGCAGACCTGGTCAACCTCAAATCCTGGCAGCTTGAAGCGGCCTTCATAGGTAGTCCACTGCTTTCTGCAACGGCGGGACAGCTGAACTGGCGTCGTTTCGTCGTGACGACGGCGGAGAGTCGACCATGACAGCCAAATCAGGTCGTGATCTCTACGACACAACGGTTCCTTTCCAATTCCAAACTCCCATTTCCCATTCACTTTTATTCTACTGTTTTTGAATATCTCCCACATATTACATATCCACCCTTTTGACTAACCCGGTTGTGTTGTTTGCACGAAGTCGTGTCAGTGAAGATCTGCAGTTCGCCAAGCTGCCAACAAGCAGCGCCGAGGGGCGGAACCAATGTTGCATGACGGACGGTCATAAGATGTGGTACCTAAGAAGCTGGCTCGCAAGGCCGATATTTTGTTTCCCACACACACGCCGCTTGTGTTTGGGGACTGGGCAGGCACTGGCAGGAAACCACAGCGGACGTGAGGGGTGGAGGGGCACGAGGGGGGGAGGGGCACGAGGGGGGGAGGCCAAGGCGCCGAGGGGAGAAACGCATGAATGTCGTCTTGGGGCGAGCGCAGCCGAGCGACCACTGAGAAGCAAAAGAACGGCACATTTAGATGAAGAGCGGGTGAGGTTGCTCTCTGATTTGCCGCGACTGGGCCTCGGCGGTCACAGGGAGCGTGTGGGCAGGGGAACGCTGCCTGCGCGTCCTGCGCGTCCGATGTTGGACGTGCTGGCTGGTCACCGTGCTTGCGCCCTTCGTCGTGCAACCGAGGGGACACGGGACGAAGGATCGGACAGGCCGCGAGGTTGTGAGACCCGACGAGGACGGGATGCAAAGCGGTCAGCACATGCGGCGGCGGTGGCACGGTGGCACGTTGCATAGCAAAGCAGCTACTAGCATACGGGTCGGGTGTTGCTACGACTAGCATTTCTGAGCCATCATTCCGGGCGGGCAGGTCGTCATGGCTGCTCATCTCTCGCGCCTGGGGTTGATGTCATGGATATTGCCGATTCAGCCGGTTGTTTGCGCTTATTGGGAGGGTGCGTGATTACACGCAGATAGAATAAAAAGAAACAAGAGATTAACCAGAATCTGGAGGAGCGTCATCGAGGCCGAACTGGCTGCACGCGATCTGCGACACCAGAATAGCATCACAATTTGCCCAGAATAGGGGTCGAATCCACGAGCATGGGTGGCGCAGCCACAAACGCGAATCCTCCACCTTGTGGAATGCAGGTCCGGCTTTGGGTTGCATTCCGATCGTCGTGCAAGGGAAAAGCAACAGAAGAAAAAGGGGGTGCTGGTTTGTGAAAGGGGCGGCCGTGGTGGGGGTGGCGCGAGCCGTTTGATTGGGCAGATCTCACTTGAAACCGTTTGACAAGAAAGACCCCATTCTCCCGCACCCGACCCACACATCCAGCGGTCTTTTTGGTTCGCTGACGACCGGCTTGAAGCCAACCCTTTTTTCATATTACTCTTGTCTGAGGAGCGGTTGTGCCTTAGCCTCCCATTCTATGTAGCCAAACATTGGGCGGGCAGCTGTCAAATGTGAGAGACGGAGACTGATGGGCTGCGACGACGCCGGAGGCAGGGTTTTGGTACTACTGTATGCGACGGGCTGAGATGGGGTGGATTTGCCCGGCTCGGGGGATTTTATTGCGAGCTTCTTGATCTTGCAGCCCGTCCTCATTTCAGCTGCCTTGTTTTGGAATGCGGATAGATGGCGTAAGAGGCTGGAGGAGAGAAGCGAAGGCGCCGGTGTGGCGTGCAGAGTCGACTGCAGGGCTAACCGGCAGGCTGCGTGGCTGCCCATCGGTATTTCACCTGAACCTTTTCTAGTGACGAGTCGTGCAGTCCCGTGATGGTTTCCATGCCGATCCCTGTCATCTCAAGCGCCCCTGCCCTTCAGCCCCAACCCAACTGCAACGCTGCAGGTGGGGAAGAAAGCATGTGGCAGCAGCGTCAGTAGTGCACGGCCATTCGCGCATGGGGTAGTGTTGCGGCGGTCGGTAGGTACCAGGTGGGTGGCGTGCCAGGGGGTAACCACACTAGCGCAGGAACTCCCGCGCAGGCGCTACCCAAACGATACTACGGCTTCCCTTCGCTTGTCGCTGTGTGTAACAGCCGGACCTCCTTTCCTTCCATTTCGCCCCCTGGGTCACGAACCCGTGTTAGTTAGCTCCGTTGGTCGGAGAATTGGGGGATCAAACTAGAGCGACCAGCGCGATGGATTGGCCCTGCCGAGCCAGGAACACCCTCCATGGCCGCACACGGGCGGCCATGCAGGAGCGCCAGGGAAAAACCCAGGGAACAGCTTGGGAAGATGCTGGCCGCGTCGTCCAGGCCGCGTGCCAAGAGAATGTGCCCTGCCCTTTAATCTGAACCTTGACGACGCTCGCAATTGAACGTGCTCAGGAAACACGGCAGCGGGGTGGGAGCGACCGGGGGTCAAGGGCAGAGACCCCGGCAGGGTAAAATGGGGAAAAGGGCGGGCGGCAGCGAGGGCTGGGTGAGATTGGAGTGTGTGGCACCGTGGTCACCCGTGGGCACCCACTCCATGGCAGGCACCACCCAACGGCGGGCCCCTTCCACTTCCAAAAATGTGATATCTTCAGTCATGTCTCTCCTTCCCACCCCCTCCGTCTCGCCTCTCCACACCTTCTCTTTGCTCTTCTTTCACTCCTTCACTCTTTTTGCGCAAACCCCTCTATCACGCTCTCTTTTGGTGCGCGTTGTCTACGTTGGCTGACCTCGACGTTCATTCTCTTGTCACAACACACGCTCATTCATTTTTTGTTTTTTTGCGTGTTTTTGCCGCTCTCACTATCGCTTCATCTTGTGTGTTGATCGCCGTCACTTTTTGGGTGACCCCGTGTTACTCGCCTAGACTGCGTCGCTACGACTTCGATTCAATCCTTTTCGACCCCTACACCCAACAAGCAACCAAGCCCAGTGGAGGCCTAACGAAAGCCAACATTCTTTAGCATCTCGCTGTGACACACCTGCGACGGACTGTCTAGGAAATCAAGGGAGGGAATAAGAGGAGGACGATATCCCAAAGAGGAAAGCGCAAATCCAAGGGTCCAGACTCGACGTCACCGACGGCGAATTCCACCGAGCACTGGAACAGCCAGGCTTCACCCAGCCCCGACCCTCGAGACGGTCCGACATCAAGTGCCTCTGATCAGGCAGTCACCAGGAGAAGGAAACAGGACCTACCACAAAGACGAGGCCACCCATCGACTCTGTTTCCCCAGAAACTCGTTCTCAAACAACCCCGCCGCATAGTACCTATTCACCATGAGATTCTCAACTCTAGCTGCTGCGGGCTCTGTGGCCCTCTGCGTCGACGCCTTCTGGCGCATGGAGTGCCGGGTGCGCTCTGGCCTTGCCCGCATCGACCCGTTGGTCTCTCCGGGTGAAGTGGCACAGCACGTCCACTCGATCCACGGCTCCGGGGGCTTTGGGCCCTCGGCTACTTATGACGACCTCATGAACTCTGACTGCACCTCATGTGCCGTCGAGCAGGATAAGTCAGCCTACTGGCACCCGTCCATCTACTTCAGGGATGCTGCCACTGGCAAATACGAGCTTGTCGAACAAAAGGGAGGCATGTTGGCATACTACCTGCTTTTCAAGAACTCCAACGAAGACAAGGTCACGGCCTACCCCAAGGGGTTCAGGATGATTGCAGGAGACACCACGCGCAGGAACTACTCGACGGCGCTGGGTGATGTCAACAAACCTGATCCTGAGAAGTCAATTTGGAGCATCTTGGGCCAGACCAGCCAGACGGACCTGCAGCAGCGTGCGCTTGGCTTCAACTGCCTCAACTATGGCAAGGCCCCCGAGGGCTCCCTGTACCGCCACTTCCTGCCCGACAAGGCGTATCTGGATGCCAACTGCGCTAATGGCGTTCGGTTCGAGCTCATGTTCCCTTCGTGCTGGGACGGCCAGAATGTTGATTCGGAGAACCATCGCGACCATGTTGCCTACCCCGACCTCGTCATGACGGGTACCTGCCCCGAAAGCCACCCCAAGCGCCTCATCAGCCTTTTCTACGAGACCATCTGGGACACATACGCCTTCAAGGGTCGCGACGGACAGTTTGTCATCTCCAACGGTGACGTCTCGGGCTTTGGATACCACGGTGACTTCATGACGGGCTGGGATGTGAACTTCCTGCAGCAGGCCGCCGACCAGTGCACCAACCCGTCGGGTCGCATCGAGGACTGCCCACTCTTCAAGATCCAGGACGATGCCAAGTCGGCCCAGTGCGGCATCAAGATGCCTGACGCAATCAAGACGGAGCAGCTTCTCAAGGGCCTGGACGCGCTCCCCGGCAATGTCGCCATCCAGGTCGGCCCCGCGCCCGCCGTCCCCAACAAGGACCCCAACCCGGCGAAGCCGCCTCCTCCGCCCAGCGCCCCGCCCGCGCCCGTGCTGAGCTACAAGCCCGGCGAGACTGCCACGGCTAGTGGTACCTACCTGCCGGGCCAGGTCTTCAAGGCGACGGAGCCCGTCAATGCCGGCGTCGCCGCTGAGACTGCGGCGCCTGAGCCGTCCCCCCAGCCTGAACCTGTGCCGCCCGTCGTGGCCGCCGAGGCGTCAACCCCGGCTCCTCCCCCGCCGCCACCCGTGCAGCCATCAACGTCTTCCACGCCGGCTCCCCCGCCGACAACGCCCGCACCCCCTCCGCCTCCACCGGCCCCGACCTCGGTCGACACGGCGTCGTACGTGAGCACCCAATACATCACTGAGGGCAACGTCGTGCGCAAGATCCTGTGGACCGAGGAGATCAAGTACGTGACCGAGTACGACGACACCACCACCACCATCACGGCCCCGGGCGCCGCCAACACGGGTGCCGCCGCCCCCCAGGTGCGCCGACAGCTCCGCCATCTCCGGCACCACGCCAGGCACCACGTCTAAACCCCACACCAGGAGGGCACAGACAATAGGTGGCAGGCTGCTTGTTGTGTGTCCCGGGGGTTTTGAGCTCCGAAATATTCAATTCTTGATGAGAATATATTTGCTGCATTTGGGAGATTCAGCCTTCTTGTTTTTGTCGGTTTTTTTTATTGTGATGTGGAACGGACGCTACTTCCCCATATTTGGGTACCTTTTTCTCTCCTTTATATGGCCATACCTAGGGGTTTGATTGCTTTTTCATGTCGCGTCTCTTTGAGTCCCATTTGCCTCACCTCCCTTTCATGGTCTCTCATTCCCACCTATCCCTTATCAATCATTCGATGAAATGTGGATTGGGTGGCAGCACGAGGGAGAAGAGTCGGGATGTTTTCGTCCTGGCTCTTCTAGGGATACACACGAGTTTTTGAGGGGTTTGGAAGAGGGAAAGAGAAAGAAGCATTTTGAGCGGGAAATGAGGCATGGAGGGGATGGAAGGGAAAAGAGGAAGACAAAATCCACCAAGATACCATCTCGTTTTCGTAAACTCCAATGGTTATCCGTGGGCAACCCGTGCTCTTTATGTTTGTGACTTTGCATCTAAGCCGTCTACACATGCATGGTCTACCAAGGCGTCCGTCCCAAACAAGGCGGTATTGGGCACACGAAGTACGAGGAGGTCTCTCAGCCAAGCGGCCTGGTGATTTCCAGTGTTTTATTGCACCTCGTGCCCAGCGGTGGATGATGCTCTCGAATTTTTTTTTCAATCGAGATCTCTCTGCTGCTTGGTCGGAAACATTCCTACCCCGAGAAAGGGCGTACGCCCACATGCCGCAGTGGTTAACGTCTCGCACGGATTGTCGCCGACGCATCTTTTACGCTTCAGGTTTTCTTCCACCTTCCTGGCTACCTGCTCTCTCGACTTATTTTCGCTTTTCTCCCCCTACCATCTTTTTCTTTTCCTTTCTATCCTCTTCCCTAATGTCACATTAGCACCCTCTAACATCCCCCCATATGCCCTCACACGGCCCAAGTTCTAGGCGGTGGTCTCGGGCGCTGGAATGCGCCGCGGCGAGGCCATACAGGCCATACACGACAACCCATTCCAACGACCACCCCTCGGTGGCGGCGCACGCTCTCTCGCCATGGGGCCCGGCCACGCCAGGAGCTGCGAACCTGGACCGGGTCTTTTTTGATTCGGATCAATTTCGCGATCGGCTGAGGCGCGAGGAGCGGAACATTCCCCTTCCCCCCTTCGCCCTCTCCGTTTCTCCCTACCACCTACGAGCCGCCTCCCTCTCGTCTCTCCAGTTCACACCACACACCGACCCTTACACGTTCGTTTCTTGTGTGTTGCTGTTCGTTTCGCCCTCTACACTGGAGAGCAACTACCGAAGAAAAAAGCAAACCGTTCCTTTGTATCCTCATGGTATCATCAGCCACGCTCCTTTTTCCTTGAATATATCTCCCAGAAAAGAGACCGGAAAGAAAAGGAGGACCAATCAGCAAAACCTCCAAGCATACAACATCACCAACATCATCCCGGCGAAAGGCCTCGCGTGACGGCGGGCCTTTCCCTTGTTCGCAATGCAGTCACCGGCGCGCACCGGCCCCGAGACCAGAGCCCAGTCCGCAGCCGCCACGGCGGCGGCGGCAGAGCCGTCTTCGCCCATGAGCCTCGGCGTCGTCGTCGGCATCGTCGTGGGCGCCACGCTCCTCGTCTCGGCGGCGCTGGGCTTCGCGTGCGTCTGGGCGTCGCGGCGGCGGTCGGCGCGGCTGCAGCGCGTCGCCCTGGCCAGCCAGCAGGGCGAGCCGGCCTTCATGGACAACGGCGACGCGTCCAGCATCAACGGCGGCCTCGGCGGCTCGCCGCGCAAGCTGCGCAAGCGCGGCGGGTCCGTCAGCAGCGGCGAGAGGGCCCCATCGCCCGTCAGGCGCGTGTCGTTGGCTCCCGTGCTGCCGCCCATCTTCTCGAACTCGTCGTCGTCCTCGCGCCGGACCTCCTTCAACTGGTTCGGTCTTGGTAACAGCGGCGGCGGCAGCGGCAGCGGCTCCGAGAAGGACCGTCGCGGCAGCGAGACCAGTCCTCACAGGCGCAACTCTAACTGGATCGACGAAGACGCCATCCACGGGCCAAAGATTAAGAAGCCGACCGGCAGCGGCGGCAAGAAGTCGCTCCGGGACTCGTGGCCGCTCAAGATGATGGCGCCGCCGACGCTGCCGCGGCTGAACCTGCCGGGGCTCCCGCTGTACAGCCACCAGAAGACCGAGGACGCCCTGGTGATCAGCGGCCACCACGGGGACTCGACCGAGGCGGTCCCGATCCGCAAGCTGCCGCCGCCCCCGCGCCCGGTCCTGGTCGTCCCGAGCCGCCCGGCGCCCCAGCAGTCTCCGCCGCGCCCGTTCATCTACGAGGAGTACGAGGAGGCCGAGCAAGGGCGGCCTGTGGCGAACGGCGAAGGCGAAGGCGACGGCAGTGCGGCGAGGCGCCCCTCGACGGCGCGCGGCCGCAAGCCCTCGACGGACTCGACGCTTGCCGAGATCCTGCAGTCAACCGAGCGCCGGCTTCAGGAGGGCACCATGACGGGCGTCGCGCGGCGGAACCGCATGGCCGCGTCCCCGACCAGGCAGCCAGAGAACAGCAGCCGGGAGCACCTCGTGGCGCGGGTCATGACCTCCCGAACCGCCGGGGCGTTTGAGTTTGTCGACGATGACGAGGACGACGTGCCCCTGAGCCAGCTGGCGAACCGTAGGCGCACGCCAAGCCCCTCAAAGTCGGCAGGGCCAAGCCCCTCCAAGTCGGCAGGGGTGCTGTTAGCGGTTATTCAGGCCAGCCCGGGCCACGTCCGCAACACGTCCGAGGTATCAGACATTTCCGAGCCGGACAGCATGTTCGGCGACACCACCACGACCGACGTCGTGTACGAGGCCACGGCCGTGGCGACACGCCTGACCAGCCCGAGCCGGAGCCCCTCGAGGGCGTCGGTCAGGGTGGTCGACTCGCCCTCGACTGCCAGCTCCAAGTCGCTTTCCACGCTGTACAGCGTGGACGAGGCGGCGCAGGACAACAGTACACAAGCGACTAGTCTCCCATCTTCCAGCGTCTCAGAGGACAGGCACAGCTTCTCCGCAGGCAGGAAGCCTACAACCACCGATCCCTTTGTCACTTTCCCAGGCACGCCACCGTCCACCCGCGGGACGCCCATACGGCTTTCTTTCTCAGGAGGCAAGGTCGTTGATTCCGCTGGGTCGGGAAAGCTGGTGCTCAACCGGCCCCCAAAACTGAGCAAGAGTTCGACGGGCGAATCATCGCCTACGCCGGTCCAGCGCCGGAGCCAGGCCGAGAGGATCCTGTATTCGGCATCTCCGGACGGGCAGACGGAGATCCTGACCAGCAGCCCTTCCCGAACGTCGGACAAGAGCCGGCAGGAGATCCAGCAGCTGCTCGAAACCCCCAGCCTCCGCACCAGGATGCGGTCGGGAGTGTTCCCGGCGCCGGTACTCCTCCCCTCACAGTCGCCCGACGAGGGGCAGCGGGAGCTGACCGACGAGGGTCTTTTGCCCGTCAGGCCAGCCCTGATGGTCACGAGCCCCAGCACCGCAAACACAACACGCAGCTTTCTGTTTGGAAGTAGCAGAGACTGCGAGATGGAGAGCCCAACTGCGAGAAGGGTCGTACCGCCGCCCCACCAGCTGCGCGTCGACACGGAGCGTTGCAGCTCTCCCACGCTCGGGGAGGAAGACGACTTCGTGTCGGTGGTGACACCGAGCCCCACCTCAAGCCCTGCCCTGAGCCAAAAGGGTGGCTTCTCGCCGAGCCCTGGCGCCAGGTACATCAACTCGGCGATGGAGGCCCGCCGGGTCCGAGGCGGCAAGAGGGTGGTGTCGACAGCGTCTTCGATATACTCGCAGTATGTGGACGACCCTGGCAGATCAGGCAGCCCTGATAAGATGCAATTCATGGCGGCGCGTCAGTCGCTTCCACCCTGCCCGCCTCCCCTTCCGCCGGCTGTCATGGTCTTGACACCTGCAGAGCCCGAGGATGTGAACGAGGCAGCCGTGGCTGCAAACAACCGTCTGCCCCTCTCGTCGTCGACATGCCCGCCAAAGGTGCTGCGTCAGGAGAAGAAAGGCCTGCTCACGGTGGGAGGCGGCGTTGGTTTTGGTGGAACAGGAGAGAAGTATCTCGTCACGAGCACTATCGCGGAGCTGCGTCGGATGAACAGCCAAGTAAGCAACTACAGCGCCGTGTCATCGCATCACGGCGGCGGCGGCGGCGGCGGCGGCGGCAATACCCTTGAGAGTCCGACAATACCCCAACTCCGTGGCGGCGGCTTCAGCCCTTTGGCCAGGCCAGCCGGGACCAAGAACTACCTCGCCCTAGGCACCATTAGCCAGGAGGAGACTGAGAGGGATAGATATATGGCCGGCAGCGACGGCGGTGCCTCAGCGGCGACGCAACACGTCGACCGGTCTCGATTTTCGTCAGCAGAGCCCCCGGCTACCAACTCGTGCCCCCTAGCCGTCTGGACCGGATGCACCTGCACCCGGTCCGAGCCCTCGACCGCGGCGGGCCTGACGGAGGAAGACAAGCGGTTTATGGACCTGAAGATGCCCAAGGTCGACTTTGACCGCTTCTCGGCCGGTTTCATCCCCGAGATCTCGGAGCGGTTCCTGGCCGAGCTCGGCGGGGCCGGCACCGCACAGAGCGGAGTCTTTGACAGCAACGCTCAGCTCGAGACGCCGCCTAGGAGGTTCGCGGGCCAAAGCGAGGGTGGCGACTGCGAGAGCAGCGGCGGGTATCGCCACGGCCGCGGCACTAGCACCCTGGGGGTCGAGATTAGTCCTGACAGGCACAGCCTCGACAGCCTGGGCCTGTACGACAACGACGGGTTCCTGATCAACTCGCCCGAAAGGATGCGCTCTCGTGGGCTGAGGATCTGAAGGTGCCGGGGCTGTTAAACGGGGCTGCCAAACAGGAGGCAGGATTGTAGTTTTTGTTACTTGGCCATTTTCTGCGCACAGCGAGCTCTTTCATTCCCCTCCAAGCTCATCCTCGTTGAGATTGGTTGAAGCTTCATGTTCATAGGTTTCCCGCCGCTATTGACATTGGGCTGCGTTTCTGGTTTGTTTCCTTCCAACGTCATGGGCGTCATCTGCTGGTACTTGTTGTCGGTTGTACATTCTAGATACTACCCTAATTCGATTTTCGGTGGTGGCTTGGTCGCTATTCACAGTCATGGAGCCGATCCTGGCGAGACTCGTCTTGACTGACGATGAGTTTCATCATGTCTTTGTGCGATGTGTGATGCCGTGTTGAAAAAGGTACCTTTCTCTAATACTGTGTAAAGGTGCCATGTTTTGGACTTGTTCTTGCTCAGAGAAGCAAGTTGCACAGTGTATCGACTGTGTAACAGAGGCAGGTGCAATCCAGTGGGCAGTGGAGGGGTTCGTGGCAACCTGCAAGTGTGGACCTCGATGAGCCTTCCCTCTTCTCGTTAGGTCGTCTCGTCAGTCGGGCAGAGCCAGCATATAAATCGGCCTCGTCCCAACCCGACCCTGGCTTAACCTGGTTGCGGGCAGGTTGCTGCCCACCGGCCTACCTCTAGGCAGCTCTCCAGGCACAAGCAAGCACAGAGAGGATAGCCCAGGATGGTACCCGTTCCGCGGCCCGAGCTGCCGCGCATCATCACGTACTACCAGACGCACCACACGCCCGATGGCCGCCCCATCTCGGTGCTCCCGCTGCTGACGGAGCCCGGCATCTCGGTCACGCACGTCATCGTCGCCGCCATCCACCTCAACGAGGACCCGAGCGCCATAACGCTCAACGACCACCACCCGGACCACGCGCGCTTCGACACGCTGTGGGCCGAGATGCGCGTGCTGCAGGCCTCGGGCGTGCGCGTGCTGGGCATGCTCGGCGGCGCCGCCAAGGGCTCCTTCGCTAGGCTCGACGGCGGCCCGGCCCAGTTCGAGACCTACTACGCGCCCCTGCGCGAGCTGGTCCGCGCCCGCGCCCTCGACGGCCTCGACCTTGACGTCGAGGAGGACATGTCTCTGGCTGGCGTCGTGCGCCTCATCGACCGCCTGCGCGCCGACTTTGGCCGCGACTTCATCATCACCCTGGCCCCCGTCGCGTCCGCCCTGCTCGGCGACCACGACCCGCGCCGCAACCTGAGCGGCTTCGGCTACGAGGCCCTACACGCCGCGCGCGGGAGCGAGGTCGCCTGGCTCAACACGCAGTTCTACTGCGGCTGGGGCGACTGCTCCTCCCCGCACATGTACAACGCCGCCGTGGCCCGCGGCGTCTGGCCGGCCGAGAAGATTGTCGTCGGGCTCATAACAAACCCGGCCAGCGGCGGCGGCTGGACGCCCTGGGAGGCCCTGATGTACGTGCTCCCTCTCCTGGCCGGCCACCACGCCCGCTTCGGAGGCGTTATGGGCTGGGAGTACTTCAACAGCCTGCCCGGTGGCGAGGACCGGCCCTGGGAGTGGGCCATGTTCATGACGGCGCTCCTCAGGGGCGAGCGCGCCGTCGCGGACGGCGAGCAGCCCGTGCTCAAGGCCATCGAGAGCGAGGCGCAGAGGGAGCACGTCGAACTGGAGGAGGAGAAGGAGAAGCAGATGGAGAAGAAGGCGGAGGAAGAGCAAAAGTGTGCCGAGGGGAAAGCAACGCAGCAGCAGCAGCAGCAGCAGCCTTCACACGAGGTTGACGGCCAGCAAGGTCCCGAGGCCCCCGTCCCTGGAGATTTCGATTACTATTCGGACAGGCAGAAGGATTTAGACTGACTGCACTGCCGACAATGAATACCGCGGGTCTTCCTCCTATCACCTTTCGAGATTCGAGATAGACCGATACCCCCACGAGCCGTGCCCCTTTACAGCCTCGAGCTACACCAGTGCCCCCGCAATTCGTGCATCGCAGTTGCTCGCGCCGGATGGATGCACTCCTCATACCAGTCACGACCGCGGCGGATTGCTCGTCCCTCTACACACGACGTGACTGACGTCCGCGTCTAAGCCCCTAATGCTTCCGTCGTCACCCCTGGCCCACATCTCCTTGATGGCTTCAGGTTATTTTCGTCCGCGCTGCTCACCGCCACTCGATGCAAGGCTCGTTGGATTGTTTTTGCATTTCGCGTTGCTTACGGGGAATCTGGGAATGGAAACCGGCGTGTGGTTAGGTAGGGGCCTTGTGTCCCCCTTCGTTCTGAGATTACGCAATGGTAATGCAGTACTTTTGGGGCATACACAAGGGATAATAGAAACGCACCAAATCCGCATTTTCCCGTCCGGAAAGCCACCAACGTCAAAAGTTCCGATATGTCCGATTTCCGAGGCAGCGTGGAGTGTAGAAATGTGGTGCGAGATCCCACCCTATTTCTGCGTCTCCCGCAAGTCCTGCATGATGAGTCAGTAAAGATGACGAGTCGCAACCCAGACAGCGACGGCGGGCGCTCCTTTCTCCAACAGAGACAGACAAAGATTACAAAGCCGACAGAGAAAAGAAAATAAGACCAGGACCGGTGAGGAGGAGACACCGACAGCGAAGGGAGAAAGAGAATGATGGAGGTTACGAGGTGAGCCCCGCCATAGGGCCGGCCATTGGGCGCACCACAACACTCCCCTCTCCCCCGTCACCCGCTCGCGCTTTTTTTTTTTTGCGATGAGCCACTATGAATTTGGGGGCGGCTGGTCGCGGCCTTGCCTCGAGGGATCGTCAAAAGAAAAGGTCTAGGCCGTCGATGGCAGATGCTCGGTTCTGAGTGGCCAGGCCGTTTCGTTTGGTAGGCCCCGCCGGCCGGTGGCGAGTTTCTGCTTGTCGATTCGGGCGCCTTTTTTTTTTGGGCATTTGCTCGAGGAGACTGTATTGTTTATTTTTTGGCTGACGAGTTTACTTGTCACATGGGACAGATATCTTGGAATTAGACTAGGCTTGACCTGTTGGTCGGTCCGGTGGGTCGTCTGGCTTGTCAGCACACTCACACCTATGGACTTACACTTGTTTCGTTTTTTTTTTAGTCTTTTGTCTGCCTGCTTTGTATCCTTGTATATTTCTTTGTACCTCGGGCTTCTCCGTGGTTACATTGCGCATGCTAGATGTAGTGGTTGAGTGAGGTAGTAGAAGAGGCGGTAGTCCAGCCGGGGTCCTGCATCGTGTTATCGAGCTCCGGTCTGACATGGCGTAAAGACGTCCCGGACGCTCCGGCTAGTAGCGGAGCCGGCAGGACTGCAAGCCGCCCACAGAGCCGCATCTGTAACCGGGCATTCTATCCTGGGAACTGGGATGTTGGCATGTCCCGATACACGGATTGCCCCATGATCTAGTCGGCCCTGATCCTGATATTGGTGACACATTGCGTAGCAGTTCACAGCATGGCAATTAACCCCTCCCCTCTTCCTTCTACCCGCGCAGGCGCAGCGCCATCTCGTTCCAGCTGCCGCATCTGGCCCAACCTCGCAAAGCAGAGGCCTCAGCCCTACTGCACCCTGCAGGTATGGGGCAGGTAGGTGGTCTCTGAAACCTGTGTCACGGGGCGTTAGTGATCGTCAAGGCAGCATGGCCGCTCCTCCAGGCCGTGGCGGCGGGTAGCTACCTCAGGTTCAGGTAGGCAGGTACCTGCACCTGCATGCCTACCTACCTACCTAGGTAGCCGTCTGAACGAAGAAAGGGCAGACAAATTAAATCAGCTGACCTCAGGGCGCCTGCTCGTCCCGGCTCTTGTCCGGGTTTCACCGCAGCAGAAACCCAAACCAGCGGGGGCTCTCCCGCGTATCTGCACCAACACCTCTTTCGTATGCCGTAGCGGGCGGGCGGCGGGAGGGGGGGCACGCTGCAATCGCGAGACATGGTGACATGCAAACCGAGTTATGTGTCGGAGACATTTCCGTCTAGCCCTATTCAGGGTTCGGCTCGGCCCAAGGCGCTTTCGTCGGACCCTAGCTCCGCGCCGTCGCATGGCCAAGTGCCAAGCTCGTGCGGCGATGATGTCATTGCGCCTTACGAAATGCCTTCCCTTGGGGGTTGGAGGGCGTGGGGCTATGTCGACGCGCGTGGGGAGGTGAAAAGGAGAGGGGGCAGTTTCCGCGGAATCTGCGATGATTAGTGATAGTTGTTGTCTGACCGGAAGGAAAATTATCCCGACTATTTGCTGGCTTAGCCTTGCAAATAAATTTGAAAATAAAACAAACAAAACAAGGCCTGCTGTGCCACTGATACAGAACCTTGACGAACGTTCTGCAACCAAAGAGCACCCCCATGCCATGCAGTGCGCCCCATGTCCGGATAGGCCCCAGGCCACAAAAAGTCGGCGGCGAGCCGACCCCCGTTTAGGAAACCCATGAAATGCTTATCGCCGGCGGGCCGCAAGCTGCGGCATGGCATCGTCATACCGACCCAAAGATCAAATCAGGAAAGAGACGAAGAGGGAGAAGGCCGCACAGCCAGTCAACAGAAAGTAGCCAACAAAAGTCCGAGCGGACCAGCCAGGAGGCCAAGCATCCATCGAATGTTTTCCTAATAGGGCAGCTCGTACGTACAACTCGTCACTCCATGGTGGTGGAGGTGAGGTAACGGCCTGCAGAGGGACGGGATGCAACACGCGCGTGGCATCTTTGCTCTCTTCTTGCATAGTATAGCCCGTTTCACGTAGGTGGAGTGCATGCAGCATCATCGCTAATCTCCCCGCCGACCTCTCATATCTTGGTGGCTAGGTAGGCAGGTATGAAGGCAGGCACCCAGGGAGGGTGGCAGGTTAGCGTGGGGGCAGAGATAATCAAGGCAATATCTAGACGACTACAGCTCCGGGGTAGGCATGCAATGCAGCGCCCGCCGGGGTGGAGGCGGATCTTGTTTTCTTTTTCTCCTGTCCTGCACCAGCAGCTCCGAAGCAAAGGCAGACAGGCAGGCAGAATCAAAATGAGGGGGGAGGGGAAAAGCAACGAGGGAAAAAGAGAGCTTGCGCCGCCAGTTTGCGCCGGACCACGACGCCCCGAGCCGACCGACAAGGGCCTGCGCTAATTCGTTCCATGCGTCTGCACAGCGCGCTGGTGCGACCACGGCGCATGTGGGGAACGATGCCGGCACCAAAAAGGCGGACGGCCGAGGATTCATCTTCTCAACTTGTACGACCGAACCGCTCGCAGGGCCGGGCGGAGCAAGGCTGGACTGGCTATTGATGGGATGGGATGCATTACGTGAAGGCGCTGGGAGACACTCGGCCATCGCACCTCGCTGTTGATTACGCCGTTCGCATATTGCATGGCAATCGGGTTAGGCATCTTTTTCCCCTCCCAGGCAGCGCCAGTTTCTTTGGGGCCGCAGTCGGTGGCTTTGCCCCGGCCCCCAGAGTGAGTTAGCTCTCGAGGCCCATCCGCGGTCGAGATCGGGTCCCAAAGTTGGGGGCCGAGTCGTTGGGGAGTCAGGAAAGAGCAAAAGCCACGTGGGAGCAGGGCCCCCAAAGAACCACAGAGCGCGGCAGTGCCAACCCGTAATCAGGAAATCAATACGGCGTAGCTGGGGTCGATGGAGTGTGGGCATCTGGCGTAGGGCTGTACGGCCTGACGCAGCCCAGGCAGCAATCTTCTCATCTCAGAGACAGTCCGCACTGACGAGGAGACTGAAAAAAACGTGGCTACGGGCATCAGTCAGACGGATGCAGGTCCAAAGGGGGATGTGTGTGCGTGCGTGTGTGTGTGTGTGTGTGGTGCGGGCGTGGGCGTCGTGTCAGATTGGGGAGACTGTGGCTTGCGGGTTCACAAGACGGGTGGGCGCCTCTTGGCGGCAGCAGCACGCGTCTCTCCTGCAGCCATCTCCGCAGCTTGATCAAGATGAGATGAGCTCAAAGTATAGACGTAGATGGATGGCTGGGGGCGAAAAACAAACAGACATGAAGGTAATATAGCCTGGTTTTTCATCGTATGAAAAGGGGTAAAACAGGAGAAAGCCACAGTACTGGGCTGATATTGCCGGAATAGGGGGCAGATCCGAATACTATGCCAACCACCTGTGCCGGTGGCGTCTGGATTCCGGGCCGGGCCTCGCCCTGCAGACCACGCCGCGCCACCTCCGCCACAGCCAGCGGCGCCAGGCTGTAGACATTGATAAAACCCAGAGCGCAAGAGACAGCCGTGTCATGGCGCGCCGCAATCTGCGCCGCCGTCCGATAGCGGTTGGCCCCGCACTCGGCCTCTCAGTAAGGTCTGCGGTATGGCCCTGGGAAAGGCACTGGTGGACACGTGCACAAGGGTCTCGATGCCGGGCACGCCCGTGGCGCAGTCGACGGCGCTGAGGTCGGACAGCTCCTCGGCCTGCAGCAAAACGACCCCTGTAGCCCTTCGCTTCAATCTCCAACTCTGCCAAGCGGTAGTCATCAAGCTCGGGTGCGCGCAATCAGGAACCGGACCAGTTGAGTAGAGCCGATATGTCGGTCACGACGGCGTCTATGACGCTGGGCTTGCACCCGAAGCTCGGCCCCGAGCTCCCTGAACGGCTTGGCGAACGGCTCGGGAGAGCGTCCGGCTACGACGACAGGGAGGCTGGGCGACTTGGCGTGCGCCGCAGCCATGCGCGCCCCGTGTAACCGGCAGTACCATAAACCATGAGCTTGGGCACGGTTAGTGTGGTTGCAATGCCGTTGCAATGCCTCGTGCGCCTGGAAATCGTGTCCGCCTCGGGGCCCTTCAGCCTTTTGGCACGGCATAATAGCCCTGACCGTCTCCTTGCCCCCTCTGGGGATAATTAGCAGCAGACGGCACCTGTGTCGTGGCCGCCCACTCAATATCTCGGCTTCCGAGTTACACTGAGCTTCGGCCTTCTCCAGCGGCAGCACATGGCAGGTTTGACCGCCATTCTGCTTACTCACTTCCAGTTATCGACAGGCAGAGACCTAAAATGCACATTTGTCAGCCTGGGCCGGCGCTTCAACCGGTCCTTGTGCCCATGGCCGGTCGATGTGATTGATATCGATGGGATTGCAATCCTGCGTGCCTGGTTCCATTATCGTTGCTTCTGGCTGTGGAGCTCGTTTGGAGTGCACACACTGTATGAGGAGAGGTGGGTGTGGGGATGCATCACTTTGGCATAAACCCGCCCATGTGCAGGGACAGCCGACAGCCTTCCATCGACGGCCGCAAAGGTGCCATGCGGATGCGGAAAAGCAGGGAAAAGGAATGCGTCCAAACCGAAAATGTCGGTCAAAGCCCGCGTATCCGCAAGCCTTCGGCACAGTAATTGCGATTACCCCACTTGTCCGCAGGCTCAGTTCTGCGCAGACTGCCCCTCATCGCCGCAGCTTGACACGCCAATTCCTCCAAGGCGGTCTTGTTGATGGCCTCGCCAAGCATGGGCCGAGCCGGTGGGGGATCCTTGGACCAGCCCTGTCGGCACTTGATCATCAGCGAACCCAGCAGCAGCAGCAGCAGCCCGGGCGCAGATTCAGTCTGCCGCGCCATTCCTCCTCGTATTCCGCACATGTGCATTGCTGCGGAGCTCCGCCAATGTCGCACTGCGAGCCTCGTCGTCTCGATCAGGTGTTGCTATCCCCGGGTCGCCGAGCCGGTGAGTCGGCTCGGTTGTCCTTGTCCCCCGTGGGACATCTTTTTCGAGGCGTCCGTCTTTCGCCTTGCATGTCCATAGATGGGTATCTATCCGGCTGAGTCAAGCTTGGGAGTGGAGGCGGCGGCCGTCGTTTTCCAGGCAGCCCCCCGGCGCGGGATGGCCGTGTAAGATGCGTGGGATGAGATGCGTCTCGTCCTAGCTCACACGCTGTTGAATGGAGACGTGCTCCGCGCCGGATCTGAGCTGCAGCGGCGGCCCCGCGGCGGACACAGGGCAGGGCTCGAGGGCGGCCACTCAGAGAGTCGCTGGTTGAATCGGGCCGGGCCTGCACCCTCACCGAAGAGTCAACAGTCAATGGCCTGCTGCGTCGTGTGTCCTGCGTGTGTATTGCGTGCGCTGGGAAGGTAGCTTGGCAGCCCTGCAGCCGTCATCCAGGCTGGGCTGCCTCAGGTACCCCGCCGACGTCAGCTGCAATCTCCCACTCGGCCACAGCATCGCAGCGGCTCGTTCCAAGACAAAAAACGGGTGCCTGAAATGGGCGGCCGAGAACGGGCCCACCGCCCAAAGGACCGGTCTGTGTGGACAAATCCGTCGACGAGAGACGATGAGTTTGAGTGACTTTGCTGACATCAAATGCACGCGCCCTGGGCCAGCTTCTAGCGCTGCTCGCTCTTAGATAATCCTGGTGACCTAATCCAGCGCTCTTTCTGTGAGGTTTCTAGAAAAAGAACATGCATGCAGGTGCTCTTTCCCGTTGCGGGCAGGATTGTGCGACGGTGGGTGGCTGCTGTGGTTTGACGGGGGGTGATTGAAATTTGGCGTCAGCAGGGCCAGCGGCAAACCTCGATGGTGCCCACCACCTGTACCGCACCCCTGGGGCACCACTGGCACCCACTGGTACCCACTGGTACCCACACTCCAGGGCCCCAGTCCGATTGATCTCCAATTCGATTGCCCACCCCAATTCCCAATTCCCAGTGTCCACTCGCCACCGGCTACGCTGTCCTCGAATCGTTGCGCATGCGATGCGAGCCACCACCACCACCCCGATCGAGTGTGGCTGTGTGGTGAGGCCGCGCCAGTACGGAGGAACCTACCAGGTGCCCACTGGCGGCACAACGTCTGATGGCTATCCCAATCGGGCTGGCTGGTGCTGGTGCTGACATTGGTCACAGCCCTGTGGTGCGTGCTAGCAATCAACCCCTGCTCGGAAAGGCTCCGTGGTCCGCTGGGCGACCCGCCACACTGGGTGACTCGAGAAAGCTCGAGTCCTGATCGACGAGACGCCAGACTAGCCTGGGCTACGGAGGTCTGCCATTTTTAGCCCCCATTTTTAGACCTGACCTGGCGGTGCTCGCTTAGCACCCGCGTTGCTCCCAGTACCTACACCGTACGCCAACGATTATCTCTCCGTCTCTTGACGCCCATGCAAACTCCGAATTCCACTACTGCTGCTGCTGCTGCTGCTGCCGCTGCTACTTTCTGCGAACACCTAAGCTCCGGCCGCAATGGCCTAACGGGCATTAGCGCCTGAGCCCCCAAAAAAGAAAGCCAACAGTTCGGCGACCAGCTGGTTCCACCCCCCCAGTCGACAATGATGGACGCCGCTGGGTCACATAGGTAATCATCATGGGATGGCAGCCCCCTGACAACTGCCACCACCACCACACGTGGCTACCTAGATACTCCCTGCAAGCCGGCTGGTACATGGGAACCTCTACCAGTACATCCGACCGCCCCTTCTGGAACCGTCGCGTCGCATCTTCTCATTACATTTCATTCTGCCCTGGCCTGGCCGCCTGCAGATCTCCCCCTCCGAGGTACCTCCATGCTGCATATTGGTTGCTCATATGGCTGGCAGTCCGCCATGGTTCGGATTTTAGCTGCTCGGGGTCCGCCTCTTACACAGCAAAGCTGCTGCAAGCCTTGTCAAGGAGGCTGAGAAGCATCGAACGAGGCCCCTGACTGCCTGTTTGCCCGCTTCTGCTGCTTCCATCCATCCACCCCCCCATTCTCCGCCCCCTCCCCTTCCTAAGCGGGACTTATGTCATCTCCTTGCCGACGGCACCCAGAAAATGACACACCCAACCCCATCTCATATTGGTGCCTGGGGCTTGGAAACGAGGGGGCGTGCGAGTATGATGTTTTACTCGCCATGGGGGGTGCGCGGTAAGGCAAGGTCCTTCGACTCCTTCCCTTGCCATCCCCGGCACCAGCCGGCTCGCAACGTCTCTGCCCGGAACCCCATCCAAGGTGCTGACCGTGGGTTGTCCCGAATCCCATCGACTATATAAACGTCGAGGGATCCCAGACCATGGGCCGTTTCTTTTTGGTTATTATCATCACCCACAACAAGAACAACATCTCTTGCACCGCCACCAAAACAAACAGTATCCATCAAACCTACTCTCCATCCTATATATCCACCGCCATCTCTCAACAACATCACAACTACGTTCTCCTCACCAGACCACATCTCCACCACTCCATCCTTCGCAATGGCTGCCAACACCTCCTTCGCTGCTACCTGCAACCCGGTCGTCTACGGCCGCTCTGGCTACAACAACAAGCCTGATGAGGACGACGAGCAGAAGCCCATCATGAACTTTGGCCGCTCCGGCTACAACAAGTAAGTCGACGAGCACACTCGAGGGGACCGGGACGAAGTAGGAATTTTCATACTAACAACTCATCTTTCAGGGGCGGCGATGACGACGAGGAGGACTCCTAAGAAGCCAACTAGCAACCTCCGAGGGAGATACCACTCTAGCCCGACTGGTTTAGAGTGAAGTCTCAACCCTCCCATCTTGTGTCACCATGCAAAACAACAACAAAAAGGCATCATCTACTGGAGTTTCTGGCATCGGGATATAGACAGCACCGACCAAAGCATATAGAACGGGAAGGAATCGCATCACACGCGAGCAATCCGAGTGTTGGAGAGGCAAGACTGATTTACCGCATTAGACCGGCGCAGGAGGATTTCTTTTTCACAGCACCCACCCCTCACGCTCGCCACTTCACCACCCCAGCATTAGATTTCATTTGTTACACCCCGCCGCCTTTTCAATCCTGTCGACACGAGAAGGGGTTGAGGTGGCGGGCTAGCATATAGACTGGACGGATCTCGAGGAGGCATCGCTGCCTCGGAGCTCGAGGTCGCTGTGTTCTAGACTAGATTATTTTCCTATTTGTACAATCAACTTCATTTCCCCACACAAAATCTGGAGCTTGCATTGAATCATTAGTGCTCAGAGCGACCTAGCCCCAGGAAGACAACGGCGACGGCGGAACTGACTTCTCAAAGATGACACCCAACACCTCCTCGACGTCCCCCGCATCCTCACCGCTCGTGATGGCGGCCAGGGCGTGGGCGGCGTATCTGAGGTGCTCCGCGGCGAGGACGACGTCAGGGTCGTGGTCGTCGGCGGGCGCCGTCGTCTCGTCCAAGCCGCCGCCGGCCTCGGCGAGGAAATCCTCCAGGTGGCCGCGGCAGCGGGCCAGGAGCTGGCGCTGCCGCTCCGTGACGCCGAGCAGGTCCCGCATGTCCGGGGGCAGCGAGGTCAGGGACTCGAACGAGCCGGCCAGGCGGTCGACCAGCGCCTGGACCGACCCCGGGTCGGTGTCCCGGCCGCCGCCCTGCGTGCTTGTCAGCCCTACCGTGGCTTGGCCCGTCGGGTGCGCCTCGTGGGCGTGGCGGCGGCGGCCCCCAACGAGGGGGCCGTGGTCGTGGTCGTCGTCGCCGCTCGCGTCAGCACACTCCCTGCACGAGACGGCGAGTGGCTGAGTGGTGTGGAGCCCGGGAAAGCGCGCCAGGACCTGGGACCTGAACTGGCCAATAAGGCTGTCGAGCTCCGGCGCCGGCACGAGCTCCCGCTTGTTGACGATCACGATGCGCTGCTGGGCCTGCGCCGCCAGCCGCAGCGTCTCCTCGTCGTATTTGATGCGGTGGCGCGTCGTCGTGGCCCCGTCTGGCCCGGGGGCTTGGATCACCGGCTCGATCGAGGCCAGGGCGATGACGACGTCCGAATCCTCCGCCTTTGCCCTGGCCCGTCGGATACCCTCCTGCTCGACCAGGCCAATGGTGCCGTCATTACCGGGTGATGATGGCGTGGCGTCCCCATTCTCCCCCAACTGTTGCGGCTTGGCGGCAGACCTGAACCCCGCCGTGTCGGCAAACGTGCACAAGTAGCCGCGTATATCCAGGCTCGCCTCGATCACGTCCCGCGTCGTGCCGGCCTCGGTGGACACGATGGACGCCTCGCGGCCGACGATCAGGTTCATGAGCGAGCTCTTGCCGGCGTTTGGCGGCCCCACCAGCGCGACGCGGACGCCCTTGCGCAGCAGCTCGGCGCGCCGCCCCGCGGCCTCGTGCCGCTCGACGGATCGCAGCAGCTCGCGGGTGAGGTAGGCGACGTTGCCCAGCAGCTCGCGGGGGGACTCGTCAAAGTGCTGGTCCTCGGAGAAGTCTATCAGGGCCTCGAGCTCGGCGCGCGCGTGCAGCAGGGAGCGGCGCCACGAGTCGTAGGACCGGCCCAGGGCGCCCGAGGTGCCGGCCACGGCGGCGCGGCGCTGCTGCTCCGTCTCGGCGTCGAGCGCGTCGCCTAGCGACTCGACCTGCGCCAGGTCCAGGCGCCCGTGGAGGAAGGCGCGCCGCGTGAACTCGCCCGGGTCCGCGTACCGTATCTCGGTGCTGGCGCGCGCCCGGCACCGCGAGATGGCCGAGAGCACGGCCCGCACCGTCGCGGCGCCGCCGTGCGTGTGCAGCTCCAGCACGTCCTCGCCCGTCGCCGACCTGGGGCCCGGGAAGGAGAGGACCAGGGCGGCCGAGTCCAGGACGTCCTTGTTTTTGCCCGGGGTGGGCTCGTGTAGCGCCCGCACCACTGCATATCGGGGCTCCGGGACTTTCTTTCCTGGGCACAGCTGCTGGTAGACCTCCAAGCAGTCAGGGCCCGAGATCCGTATGACCGCCACGCCAGCCCTCCCCTGCGCCGAGGACAGGGCATATATGGTGTCCTCGTCGGGTGACTTGAACCTGCGGTGTTTATTACGGGGATTTGTGAATTCCGGCTGAGCGTTGCTCTTTTTAGGCTCACATGTTGCGAAGCCGCGCTGTGTTACGCTCGCCCTAGCCACTCCTGAGCACGCTTGGAAGGGTGGGAGAGGTCTGGCTCGGCGGCTAAAAGCACACAGGTGTAGTGGACCCCATCGTTTCAAGGCAGGCCAAAGCATCGAATCGTTCCTGGTATCCCGTATTCATTCACCTGCGGCAAAGTAGCGCAATATCGGAGGCCATTTGTAAAAGGGGAAAAGAGTGATGAAAGCTCGATTGGGAATGGCTTCATCAGTTATTTCATAGGTTTCCATACTTGACCTCCCCTGTCCCTGACACGGCGGCCCCACAATGAGCGGAGATCTAGGTGCCCAATTAGCAACCGCGATAGCAAAAGGACCCCGCTAAAATTTTCGGTTTGCAGAACACTCCCTTCAGCCATAACTTTTTTTCCTTCGCGACCGAGCGGCAAAGCCTGCCCCTCCGCTTTCATCAGAAAACTCAACCCTTCGATACGAACATACCGTCTTGCCCGATATCTGATAGCCCCAAAGTTTCGGTGCTTGGTCGCAGGGGTACTGCCAGATCGCCAAAATGGCGTCCGACGAAATTGTGTGGAATATTATCAACCAGCAGTTCTGCGCCTTCAAGCTCTCGTAGGTTCTCCTTCACATCCAACTCCCGCTGCCCCCGGTACGCCGTATCCTAACAGGGACTCTCAAACAGGACTACGAAGAACCAGAACTTTTGCAGAAACGAGTACAACTCGACCGGCTTCTGCAACAGACAGTCATGCCCTCTGGCCAACTCGCGCTATGCCACTGTCAGGTCCCACCCGACCAAGGACACCCTCTACTTGTACATCAAGACCATTGAGCGCGCGCACTTGCCGAGCAAGCTATGGGAGCGCATCAAGCTTTCACAGAACTATGCGAAGGCTCTCGCCCAGATCGACGAGAAGCTGATGTACTTCCCAAAGTTCCAGAGGCATAAGGTCAGTGAGGCCGTGAAACCAAACAACTAAACTACGGAAGTTCTAGTATTGTACAATGTCCACGTATGCTAACTGAGACTCCCTCACGCTTCCATTAGGCCAAGCAACGCCTTACTCGCCTCACTCAAGTCCAGATCCGCATGCGGAGGATAGCCGCGGAAGAGGAGCGTCTCGGCGAGAAGCTGGTCCCCAAGCTGGCGCCCAAAGTCAGGCACCGCGAGGCCGCGCGTGAGCGCAAGGCAGAGGCCGCGGCCAAGCTGGAGCGGACCATCGAGCGCGAGCTCATCGAGCGCCTCCGTCAGGGCGCCTATGGCGACCAACCCCTCAACGTCAGCGAGGCCATCTGGGGCAAGGTGCTCAAGGCGATGGAGCGCGAGGGCGACGGAGTTCGCGACAAGGACCGCGACACTGGCATCGAGGTCGACGAGGACGGCAACCCGATCGAGGAGGAGGACGAGGAGGACGAGGAGGAAGAGGAAGAGGAGCTCGACGGCCAGGTCGAGTACGTCAGCGACATTGAGGAGAGCGAGGACGAGCTCGGCGACATCGAGGACTGGCTCGGCAGCGAGGACGGCTCCGAGGAGGAGGACGATGACGAGGACGACGAGGAGGACGACAGCGACGACAGCAAATCGAAACGCAAGACGGCGGTGGGCGACAAGCGCAAACGCGGACGGGTCGTCCGCATGGCGGCGAAGCGCAAGAAGGTCCAGCTGGAGAAGGAGATTGAGGGCCCGGCAAAGGAGAAGCTCCTGGCTTTCTAAAATGGACCGGATCGCTCCATCTTGGGCCGTCTAGTGCCATTTCATCATGCATGGAAATTTGTATCATGTCTCTGCGCGTTTGGGGCTTGCTCTTTGTTCATTATGGGGTGCTGGGAGAAATGACGGAAGCTCGAGATACCAGAATTGCACATATCCATAGCGACGCCTTGGCGCAAGCCACCCAGGCTCTGTGCCTACCTAACCATACCCTAGCTTGTGATCTCAGTTGTCAGTTATGACAGCCGATGGGTGGCACAAGTAGATTATGAATAATGACTACGAATAAGCCCCTGAAACTCGCACAGCCATGGGCTCTATGCGGTCCGTCTCCAAATATCTTTCGGGGTCAGGGCGAAGGCGGTGGTCGAATCATGGAGCCAGGCCCGGCTCCAGACACCGCCAGCAAAAGAGCGGGCGGGACAGTCAATGCTGGAATCCGATTTGAAACAAAAATTCCAAGCAGGACCTCGATGGAACCTTAGACCGTCAGCGCATCGAACTGGCGGTCCGGTCTTGCCAACTTGACAACAAACTCTTCCGTCTTTCCAGCCTGTAAGGTACCAGACCTGCGGCTCTCTTTCGGACAGATAACTCTAAATAGGGATTTCTGAATCGCGGGCAAACGAACCATCCAGCAGGACCTTGCTCCAAGAACCGTCTCGAATTGGCGCCGATGAATCAGGCGTGGACCTCCGTCATCGACCGCCGCTGATTCCCGACCCCCATCCACCACCTCGAAATCCAGCAAATCGCCCGCCCTCGACGCACAGCCGACCCAGCCATTTCTTACGAAGCCACGACCCGCCACCCATAAGCGCGCCGAAGAGCAAGACGACAGGAGGCCGCCAGCCACAGCCCCGGCCTCGGGGACGCCACGACATAGCCCAAACCTAGCTCTCCAAGGGCGTTCGGCAATCAATCGAGAGAAGAAGAGAAGACCGTGAGAGAATAAGCAACCCAGGGGAGGGGAGGGAAAAAAGGGAAAAAAAATAGCAAAGAAACCAGCCCACCATGTCGGCCTGGTACTCCAACATCCTCACGACGACCACGTCGCGCATCACGAACCTGCGCACGACGCTCCTGGGCGGCGACGCCGACGGCGACACCGAGGACGACACCAACGTCTGCCGCGTCCTGCGCGCCTACTACACCGAGAAGGGCCGCCCCTTCCCCGGCTGGCTCCCGCCCGACCCCAAGGCCCCGCCGCCCGCCGCCCCCGTCTACGCCCAGCCCACCGTCGGCAGCCGGTACGGGGCGGCGCCCGGCGGAGGACCGGGCGGCGGTGCTGCCGCGGCAAGCGGGCTGAGCTCGCTCTGGGACACGTCGGGCGGCGGCGGCGGCAGGCAGGACCAGCAGTCGCTGCGGCAGGGCCGGGGCCAGCCGCCGCCGATACGCGGACAACAGCAGCAGCAGCAGCAGCAGGGCGGCGGCGGCGGGAGGCTGAACCCATTTGGCGGTGGTGGCGGCGGCGGGGACCCGCGCGACGAGGTGCAGGCGCGCCCGCTGCCCAGCC